CTTTGTCCCCCCTGCCCCCCCGCCACTGGGAACTCTTAAGCCCAGGCAAACCTATCTCTGCAAATGTACCTCTCAATATCCGACAGTCAAATGCTTCCCTCTTCTGGCAGAATATTCACCTCACTGTGTCTAGGTTAGGGTTTTTTATCTTCTAATTCTCAAAAGAATTAAAAAGCTTGTATCTTTCTCTTAGTATTAAATGGAAAACAGAAATTTTTAAAGAAAAAAGGATTGATATGAGAAGAGTCAAGAAAAAAAGAAAAGGAAAAGAAGAAAGAAAGAGATGGATTTGACCAACCTTTCCACAGGCATCTGTGGATAAGCATCATGTTATCAGGAAAATAAAAGCTTAAAATATGAACAAATCAGACATTCCAGCTCATTTAGAAGTCTTTCCTAGTGTTCCCCCAAAGGCTTTCTGCAAAGGCTACCTTAGAAGAATCTCTGGAGATTTCAAAATTACCAAAACCAGAATTTTTACTTATTGATTCTAACTGATCAGATACGACCTAACACTAGTACTATTTGTTTTACTTTTTTTTTTTTTTAATGGACAAATTTCTAGTTTATTCTTTTTTTTTCTTTTTATTTTTTGTGCATGTAAGAGTAGTTATGTTCATTTTGAGAGAATGGCATGTGCATATACCTTATCATTTCTGATTCTTTTTTTTTCTGAACGGTACCGGAGATCGAACTCATGACTGCCTGCTTGCAAGGCAGGTGCTTATGCTGCTGAGCTAAATCCCCAGCCCCTATTTCTGATTCTTTTACCTACCTCTTTCTCTTAAATTCCCCAGCCCCTGATTTCCTTCCCTATCTCCAAAAGTCAGTACTTTTGTTTCCTACAATCTCTTTTTTGTTGTTGTTGTTGGATTGAACTCATAACCAGGGACTTGCAAGGCAGGCGCTTATGCCACTGAACTAAATCCCCAGCCCAATCTCTTCTTTATTAACTAACTTACACTTCAAGTTTCTTATGCAAGAGAAACCATACAATATTTCACTTTCTGCTTCTCATTTATTTCACTTAGCACAATGTTGTCAAATTTCATCCGTTTTTCTATAATTGATTTCACTCTTCTTTATCACTGAATATACACATTAATTTACCCATTCATCTGTTCATAGGTATGTAGGCCACTTTCAGAGATTAGCTCTTGTGAATTGTGCTGCTATAACATAGGTATGCATGTATCATTATAGTATGATATCTTTAAATTTTTTATAACTATAACCAAGAGATGTATAGCTAAGTCTAGTGGAATTTCTATTTTTAGTTTTTAAAGAAAACTCCATACTTATTTTCACAGTGGTTTTAATTCCCTACATTACCACTAACAATGTAGGAGGGTTCTTTTTTCCCACATCATTACCTGCATTCACCACTTTTTGTCTTTTTATAACAGCTATTCTGACTGGCCTAAAATGGATCAAAGCTGTGTTGTTCTGATTTGCATTTCTCTACTGGCTAAAGATGTGGAACAGTTTTTCATATATTCAGCGGCCACCTGTATTTACTTGCTTTCCCTTTTGTGAACAATCTTCAGTTCATTTGCCCACTTTTTAATTGGGCCATGTGTTTTTGGGAGAGCTAATTTTTATGAGTTATTTATACATTATAGATATCGTCCTTTATCAGAAGAGCAACTAACAAAAATTTTCTTCCATTATGTAGGCGATCCTTTTATTCTCTGAATCTTTTCCTTGGTTGTACAGAAGCTTTTTAACCTAACATAGTACCCTTTGCTGATTTCCTATGCTACAGAAATTCTATTTAGGAAATCTTTGTCTATGTCTATGACTTCCAAGGGTTTTTCTATGTCATCTTCTGACAGTTTCAAAGTCTATTTTTAACACCTAGAGCTTTAATCTGTTTACCCTTGCTGCTAGTATAGGGTGTGTGACATGAGTCTAGTTTCAATCTTCTACAAGTGGATATCTGCTTTTCTCAGTAACATTGATTACAGTCTGTCTTTTTTCCAATGCGTATTTTTTACTTCTTTGTAAAACAAACAAACAAACAAACAAAAAACAGATGACTGTTAGAAGCATGGGGTACTGTGTCTTCTGTTTATGCCACTGGTCTAAATTTCTGGTTTTTGTGCCAGTACCACCCTATTTTTTACACTTTATCTTTGTAGTATAACTTGAAATCCAGTATTGTTATACCTCCAGTTTTGCTCTTTTTCCTCATGCTTGCTTTGTCTCAAGTCCTTTCTGACTACACAGGAATCTTGGGATTGTTTTTTCTAGTTCTACACAGAATATTGTTGGTATTTAAAGAAAGATTGCATTATATCTATAAATCATGTTAGTAATATGACCAAGTCAATACTTTTCATTCTTCCAATCCAAAAATAAGAAATATCTTTCCATATTCTAATGTCCTCTTCAGTTTCTTTCTGCAGAAGGATGTAGTTTTCATTAGAGGTTTTTATCTCCTGGGTTAGGCTGATTTATGAATATTTAATGTTTTTAAACTACTATAAATCAAAGTGTTTTCTATGTGTTGATTCTGCATCCTGTGCAAAGTAATTCTCACAAGCAGGCAGAGGGACAAAATGCTGCCCTAAACAAACACTTTCACATCAACTTCAGCCTCTGGCAAATTTCAGATTCTGATTCAGCAAGGATGAAGTGGAAGGCTGAGATTTTTATATTTCTAACAAGCTTCAAGGTGCTCGCTCCACCTTAAGTACTACAGGCAAGACTTGTGACAATGCAAACTGAGACTCTGCTTTGCACTATTCTCCCTCCTAAATGCTACACTGTATCTTACAGATTCTAAAGTAAATTGCCCAACACTCAGAGCCAGTTTACAGCACAGAAAATATTAACCAAGACTTCCAACTCCAAACTGTTAGTTTCTTAGGCCCAGCAAGGGACCCTAAGAGGGGAAAGGATAAACTTTTCCTCCTCTATATAACAAAAAAATGGTTCGCTAACAAGCAGAGGTACAGAACTGGTAAGAAAAATACTATTGTGCTTTATTAAATTTTCTCACGGAGGACACAATATAGAAACATAATTGAAGGGACAATTAAAAGATTGTTTAAGCTGGTGCAGTGGTGTACCTCTGTAATCTCAATACTGTGTAAAAGAAAAAAAATATTGTTTAGTCCAGTCTCTTACCTACAAAAATACTCTCTAGGATGATGCAAAAATAACTACTACACTAACTGTTTGCCAAGGATATAGCTCAGTGGCATAGAACCTGCTTGGCAAGTGCAAGGCCCTGAGTTCAATCCCAGTACCAAAAAAGAGTAACTGTTTTACTTTTTGAAACAGCTGCTAATCAGCATGAATCATTAGAAAGTTCCTCCTTTTCATGGAGCCAAAATTCATCTCTCTACAATGTCAGGCCATCTGGCTTAATCCAAAAAGCTTCTGACTTAAACAGTAAGGGAGTATGTTGTTTTCATTGGTATAAATTTATGTCCATGAGGAAACAACTACTCAGGAAAATAGCCCTTGCATAATGAAATATACATATGATGAAGCATGTCAGGACAGATATGAGCCTCTTGCTCCTGTTCATGTTTTAATTATATACCCACTGCCTAAACTGCTGTTTATACACCTTACATTTACCCATAATAGCACCATTATTATTTGCTTTTTGCAGACTAGAAAACTTAAAGAGACCAGCAGAGGGAGATGGGATATAAACTGTAAGCTTCTGACTTTAACACCTAAGTATTACAAGAAGGCAATCTAAGGTAATTCTTCAAAGCTCAAACTTATTAGTCAGAAATACCAGGAAAGTTTGAATCTCAACTCTACTATTTACTACCTCATCTTTTACTTGAAGTGCTTAAATGTTTTTATCACTATAAAATACCTCAACAAAAATACTTCATTATCAACCACAATGGTTCTCAAATTTATCTATGATTTTGAAGAGTTCTCAGATTAAAAAAAAAAAAACACTAGAAGGAATGCAAGCAAGCAGCCTAGGAGTAGGAAATACTAATTTTGCAACTTTATAAAAGATAATATGAATTTCTGGGTATAAACAGTAATACCAAAAACATACATAAAATTCCGGAAAAAATGTAACAATGCATTGGCTACATTTAATTCATTTAGGTTAACAGAAATATACCAATGATGGTGAGTTAGGATGGAGAATAATATAACTATCAGCTTTCCCTTTTGCTATCTTTTTCCCTTTTTCTAGAGAGGGACTGGGGATTGATCCCAGGGTTACTCTACCAAGCAGCTACAACCCCAGCACTTTTTTATTTGAGAAAGGGTCTCGCTACATTACATAGGTTGACTTCAAATTTACAAAGCTCCCATGTCACCTTCACAAGAGATAGGATTACAGGTATATACCACCATGTGGGATTGGCTTCTCCCAGCTTACTTTTTTTGTATGAAGCAATTCTGTGTGTTTATGGCATAGCAATAGGGTGACATATAACAACATAAAACAGGAAATTTCTGGGGGGAAAAATAATTTTTAATAACCAAATTGAACAACACCCATAAATTTTAAATTGTCATACAAAGTCATCCTACCCATTATAGTAAATATATAATTATTTTCTATCCTAATATAAAATTAAACTAGGAATCAAGTAAACTAATCCAACTTCTAAACATTTCACTCAGGAGTCATTAAAAAAAATACACATCTCTTCATTTTAGTTCTCCAGTCCAAATTTCCCATTGTTCCATGATACCCTTTCCTGAAAATGTTCGAACTGCAAACACATCTCATATGTAAAACTCAATTCAAACAGAAATACACAACCAAAAAATAAATATACATCTACAAATTTAATACCAACATATGTAAACAAAAGCTGGCAAAAAGGAAAAAATGAGTTCTGCAGTGAAGTCCATTCTATCTATCTAGAAATGTATACATAAGAAATTTGCCTACAAAGGAAGCTATATGGCCTTATATTTGAAAATATAAGGAGAAATGTAAATTTCAAACATAAAAAGTCCAATCGTCAATGACCAAATCTAAAAAAGAAAATCATACTCACTTGCTTTCTTCATCTAAAAGATGGAGTAGTCCTGTGGGTTTTTTGCTAATAAGATTTATACAACAAGTATTATCAATATAATCTATGTTGTGCCAGCTGATTCCTTCAGTCCTATATTCTTCCTAGAAAAACCAAATAACAAAATAACAATTTATTCATCTTGCAGAAAATATGAAGGACTGAAAAGTTTTTTATCAGAGTTAAAAGAATAGCTTAAATTTTCTCTCCTAATCCCCACTTCATATAATGGAAGGATGTAAAATTTCAGTTTTACAAATTTTGATACAGTGTATGCCAGTTCACTTTAAAAAGCACATGCACCAATTTTTTTTGGTCAGAATCTTATTTCTGAGGCCACTGGAATAAAAATTTAGGTCTGGATGTTACTCATATCTGACAATTCCACTAAGGAAAATATATGTGGGGAAAATACTAATTTCTCTCATGTAACTCTAAAACATAAAAAAGGACTGTATTTGTTGAATCATCAACAAACAATGAACTTTAAAGAACTAGAATTTCTGGGAGAAACAGCAAACTACTATCTTAGGTAATCAGTGAAATCAGTAAAATAAATAAATAACCAATAAAAATCCGCCTCAACAGATTTTCTTTTTCATAGCATGGGTAACAAACATACTTAGTTGCAAAAGCATTAGGGTTTTCCCAATCATTATCCACACTCTTGTGCCCGATGGTAGCTTCGATGTATTTGGTAAAACTCATCTGTTTATTATCTAAGTAAGACCACTCAAGAAATGTTCTTTTTGTCTGACTTTTTGACTAAATTTAGGTTTCAGAGACACATGCATTTTGTTTGGAAACACCTGAAACTTCATTTTAATCACTGTAGAGTAGATGTTATAAAGTAACACAATGCTTTATGTAGTCTATACATAACTATTTCTCAATGTAACAAGAGAGATGAGGCCATTCAGCACAAAAAAAATTCTACAATTCTATTGAAATGATCAAGAGTTCTTTTCTTGCTTGTTTTGTAACACATGAATTAAACTTACTCATGTTTATGTGTAAAACTGAAGTGGAAAAAAGTTCACCTTAGTTCTGATGCATTATCTTTTTTGTATTTTGTGCAGATTTTATTTGCTAATACTGTTTAAAAATTTTTTGACTTATGCTTATGAGTAAGTTTTACCTGTAATTTCTATTTCTAATAAGATTCTTGATAGATTTAGGCATCAATGTCTTGGTTTCCTGCCATATTTATGAATTTTCTCCTTTTTATCGTGCCATGTTAAGAGTTTGTGTTAGACATAGTATCTCTCCTTTCAGTGTTGGGAGAATTCACCACTGAAGCCATCTTGGCTTACAATGTTCTATGGAAAGATTTCTAATTATATATTTAACATGTTTAAAATCTATAGAATCAGGTTTTCTGTTTGTTCTGTGCCAATTCTGAAATGTTTTTCCCTATCACTTGGTCACCCTATTTGCTGTCATAAAGGTGTTTAGTATATCCTATTATATTTTCAGTACGTGTAAGATTCACAATGAAGTCCTCTTTGCCAATGAAATCCTGGCTATTTTCTTGACTCCGTGTCTGCCTGCCTGCCTGTCTGTCTCAGTCTTGCTCTGTCACAGTCTGTTTCTCTTCTCATAAATTTCTTGAAGGGATTTTAATGTTAATTTATCTTACAAAAGTACTACTTTTGGTTTCTACCTCTCCCATGGCATACTTGTTTTTACTTTGATTTAATTTCTTCTTTTATCTTTCTGTTTTGGTTTAGTTTGCTGATCTTCTACCAAGTCATTGAGAAGGAACACTGATAAATTAACATCTTCTAACAGCTATAAAATTCCCTGAGTATAGCATTAGCCATACTTTATAGTATATTTATTAAGCTCAAAATATATTCTAATTTATCCATCTTCTATGTTATTGAGATATATATTTCTTTCTTTCTTTCTTTCTTTCTTTCTTTCTTTCTTTGTGCCGAGGACTGAACCCACAAACTCGTGTTTGCCAAGCAGGCATTCACGCCCCTGAGCTAAACCACTGGCCCCAAGATGTATATATTTTTTAACTTCTAATCACACTGGTATTTTCCAGGTATCTTTTAGTTGCTGATGTCTGCCATAATGTCATTATGGTATTCATATACGCGTCACTTCAACTCTTGGAAATTTGACCTTTGCTTTATGGTTCAACACACTAAATTTTACAAATGTTGCCTGTGACCTATCTTGGGAGAAAAAAAGTACATTCTTTTGCTTTTTGTGCAGTATTCCACGTATGCCAATTTTATATTGCTTCTAAATTGCTTTTAAATTGTCTCAGGAAGCAAAAATGCCAGGGAAATTGTACGCCACTCTGAGGGGCAATCAGCAATGCACGCTCACAGAAACAAGTAGTGGATGATTTTAACAAATGACCCTCTTGCCTACTCTTGTAAGAAGCTGGGGCTGTCGGGGCTGGGGATTTAGCTCAGTGGCATTAAGCGCCTGTCTTGCAAGTAGGCAGTCGTGAGTTCGATCCCCGGTACCGATAAAAAGGAAAAAGAAAAAAAAAAAAAAGAAGCTGGGGCTGTCACAGGCACCACCACACCTAACTCTTTGGCATTCTTTTCATGCTTTTCTCTCAATTTATTTTTTAAGATTGCTTGGATTATTTTTGCTTTACACTCTTTACTAACCCCATATTCTTTTACTACTTTGTGGCTAATCTAGAAGTAGTAACATTTATCACTAACTTATAAATGCCTCGTACAAATACAATTTCCTGTAATGTAAGAGCTAATGCAAAGATGTTAAAATACCTTAAATTCCATTTACTCCTCACCTAACTTATATATTATTTTAAATTTCTACTTCAACATTAAACCACAGATGTTAGTTTTATCTTCGTCTACTTTAGACCACCTACTTTAAATCTTGTTCTTTTTTGTTGCCTAAATAATATGCTTTTGTAAAAGAAAAGATTCCATTGTGTTCTAGCTTATACTATTTTTACTGAAATGTTAACTGCCAGTCTTATTACTTCATCTTTGATGATACCGTTTTTTTGTTTTTTTCTGAGTGTCTTTGAGATTTTTAGAGCACTTCACATATGAGCTTTAAGAGTGTTTGACTCTGCTTTTACTCTAAAAATTCTCATAAAAACTTAAATTTCACTTTTTAAAAAACATTAAGTCAATCAAACTTGACATTCTCCTGAGAAATACCTAGTTACACTTCTTGGTGTCTCCACACTGTCCTGTTTCTTTGGATCTATACGCTGTGTTGACTCAAGATTCTATTAACATGCTCTTCTATCTCATCCTAGGACTAAAAGATCAAAGCAATGAAACAAGCATATTTAGTGTTACACATATGACGATGACAAAGTCCATATACCAATTAAAAGTCAATATTCTCCCCATCAAAAAATCCAAAACAAACCTATTCCTCTTTTGATTCAAAGATGCATTTTAAAAAGGATATGCTGTGGTATCAAATTTATGTGGTAACTAAAAATTTTTCTATATGACATGCTTGTAAAACTCTACTCTGATTCATCATTTGCTTATAATGCTGAAAGCACCACACTATCTATATCGAAATACAAGATTTAAAATGCTTATCATGATATGATTCCAAGATTTGTGAAGGGAAAGTGTACACATATTTAGGTACTCACTTGCTCCAATTTAAAGATATGCTGATTAAAGTAGTGCTGTAAACGTTCATTAGCAAAATTAATACAGAACTGTTCAAAGCTATTATTTTCATAATCTTCAAACCCAAAAATATCAAGAACACCAATGGACAAAGTCTGAAAAACAAAAGAAAATTTTAGTTTAAAAAGACTCAGATTTATTCAGTAATATTCATAAGTAACAAATGGTCACATCTATAGCATTAAAGAAGATACAGTTTCTGGTAAGTGTGCAAACAAAATACAAGCAAGAATTATTTTTTAAATTCAAGTAACTAAGCCAGGCATATAATTCCAGTTCTCTGAGAGACTGACACAGGAAGATCACAATGTAGAGCTTAGCCTAGGCAACTTAGCTAGTTAGGGAGATCCTGTCTCAAAATACAAAATAAAAAGAGCTATGATATAACAGCTCTGGGGTCCAATCTGCTATACCACAAGAGGGAGAAAAAGGGTAGCTGTGAAAAAAATGTGTGTAGTACATATCAACTTGAGTTTCTACAATGTTCACAATAAATAGCTCCTAAAAAGAAATAAAGGACAAAAAACAGAATTGCACAAAGATTAAATAATACAGAGAAAATGTAATAAAAAGCAAACAAAGATACTCGACTTCCATCAATACATCAAGAATATCACAAAGTGGTAGTTCATCCTCATATCATATTAGGAGATGTAAATAATAATAATATCCAATATTGTAAAAATAGGGAAACAGATACTCTAATGTACTGCTGATGGAAATATACAGCCCTTTTTAGAAACCAATTTATAACAGTAGTCACCAAACTTTAAAAACATCTACAGTATCCTTAAATTTAGCAATTCAGAATTTAAGAACTTATCCTAGACAAAGGTATTCAAAAATATTTGTTATAGTATTGTTCATAAGACAGAAAACTTTCAATTTAATAAGGGATTAATGAGACATATTACATATTACAAAATTATTGAAAACAATGAGTGTTGGGGATGCAGTTCTGTAGTACAGAACTTGCCTAGCATATACAAAGTTCTAGGTACAATATTCAGTTACAGAAACAAATTTTTTAATAAAAGACTCAGGTATCTAATGATATACAATGTATTTCAAGAGATAATAGATAAAAATTTGGAACCAATACAGACAACATAATTCTATTCGTATTTTTAAAAGCAACTGTAAATATGCGTGCCTTTGGCATGTAAATAAAACAGAAAAAAGGTCTGTAAAATAGAAGAGTTCTTATGACTAGGATAATAAATAACAGAAGTAAAGGGGATAATATATGCCTACATATAATAATGTGCTTTAACATTACTTGTATTAGCCAGGCACAGCAGTGCACACCTGTAATCCCAGCATTCAGGAGTCTGAGGCAGGCAGACTGCCCTGAGTTCAAGGCCAGGCTGAGCTACAAAGGGAATTCTAGACCAGCCTGGACTACTTTGCAAGACTCAGATTCAAAAAATTAGTTAAATAACTAATTAATTAAAATTACATGTATTACCTAGTTTTAGTAATAAAAACTTTTGAGAGAAAATATATTACAACACGATGTATCTTTACCTTGGTATTGTGCTCCAAATCTTTACTATTCAAAAGAGCATGATTAATTCGAAAAACAATCCAGTCAAATAGGGCACTATAGAGAGACTTAGCCATGGAGTTCCTCACCGTCACAGCCTGCAAGACAAAAAAAAAAAAAAAAGCATGAGTTCAAAGTGGAATGAGTTAAAGTATGCTTACTCTCATTCAAGAAAGAAAACGTATTATCCTGAATTAGAAGTTGATTTAAAAAACAACAAAAAAAGCTGAATTGAAGTTACACACACACACACACACACACACACACACACACAAACACACACACTCATTAATTTAGTCCAACTCAGGGAATATAGGCTAAAATTGCCATGAAACAAAAATAAAACGTAGGTCACAAAATTCAAATCATTTTTACTAAAAGCTAGGGTGTACACTTCCCATAAGTAAGAAGGTATAATGAGAAGTTTACAAACAAATGCTACCAGCTAGTATGGGGGAAGAATAGTGTATTCTAGGTACAAAAATCTGGCAACGAGTGTGTATTAGTATCCATGGACTACTGCTCCCACTGCCACCCTTGAACACACACATAATTCCACCACAAGTACATCCCAAATTATATCCACTTATCAGCCACAGTAATTTCCAGAATTACTTTAGTCCCACTCCAAGTAACTATTTTTTCCCTAGAAAACTAGAAGTTAGTTTTTCCTTCACGTTGAGATCTCTCTAGCTTATGGAAATTCTCTGTACAATCTAAGTCTGAAATTGTTCTGAAGAATAGAGTATTAATTAAAGAAAATTCATAATCTAGAAAGTACTTCAACCTATCAAAAAAAAGTTACATATCTTACTGAATTGAGTCCTGGCATTTAGAAGAATACACAGCCTAATAATTAATATATTATTATCCAAAGATCTTGGAGATTACATTTTCAGGAACACATTTATTATCTCTGTTTTGAGATACAGAAAAATAGCAACAACTCAAGAGTTTAGTGAGGTATGGGAGTATACGCTTGTAATCTCAACACTAGGAGGCTAAGGCAGGAAGACTGCTCTGAGTTGAAAGCCAGCCTGGGCTACAAAGTGAAACCTTGTCTTAAAAAAATGTGTGTATGTGCATGTGTGTATGTTTCAAGTTTCTAAACCACAATTTAATTACCTACAGAAGACATAAAAGAATGATATCAAATTATCTTCAATAGTGGAAACTTGAAAATAAATGGAAATGCTTTACAGAGTTCTGAGAAAAAGTAGGATGTGACCCCAGAATTCTACATCGAGGAATTTTATCAATGTAAGTATCTTAACACTATCCAGAAAACCAACAGTAGGATGTATATACTATACTGTGCACTAGAACACCACTAGTATTCTTCCCCAGAGAGGTGGAGAATGAAGACAGTCTGATCAAATTTGGCAAAGAAAAAGACTAAAAATATGTAAGCAAAGCCGGGCGTGGTAGTGCATGCTTACAATCTCAGCACTCAGGAGGCTGAGGCAGGAGAATGGTTGCAAATTTGAAACCAGCCTGGGCTACAAAGTCAGTCAAGGCCAGCCTGACCTGCATAGAGAAACCCTGTCTCAAAAAGACCAAGTAAATAAGTAAGTAAGCATAAGATACAGAATAAATATTAGCATGAGTTAACAAAATAAATTTTATATATTAAATTTTTAAATAAAAAGACTTTCAGATTAAAATAAAAACTAAAATCTACTCATAAGTATGAAACAATATAGAAAATAAAAACTACAATCTGCCTACTTCTTTAGGTAGATTTATAAAACAGTGTAGTCACAGAGAGTCCTGACACAGCAATATAACACCTATTTACTCCATATCTGCCAGGCAACACTCCCGGGCCCTTGCTCTGCCATGCAGTGCTGCCCAGTGTAACTTAGTAAAGCCCAGACACTATGTAAGCATTCCTGCCTCTGGCAAGATCTCGCTCAGTGCTTCCTATTCACTGAAGAGGGTATTACAGTTCGCCATGTAAGGCAGAAACCTGGGACTCATTCAATACTTCGTTTTCCTTACTTACCTTCCCTTACTCTAAGTATCACCTAAGTCCTGTTCATTTTACCATCTCATTTTTTCTTTTTATCAGTGTATCACCACTAAAGACATCTTTCTGCTCACTATACAGCCTCTGAGCCCATTATGTCTACATCTACTCTTGCCTTTTCACATGGCGCCCAAGATTCCTATCCCCTATTTGAATCTCTCCCCTTAAGTATAAACTGCAAATATAATGGATTTCTCTCCTGTAATTAACTTATGTTACATTACAAAGGTGAAGGGATTTTAATGGTATAATTAGGGGATAAAACAGCTCATTTCTGAGTGAATCTGAGGCAGATTCTAGGTGGCCTGCACTTAAAAGAGAATGTTCTCTACAAGGAATTGGGACCTTTTATCAGAGGTTCTGCTGACAACGAAGAAGTAAACTGCCATGTTGTAGAGAGAGCCACAAAGTAAGAAACAGCAAGCAACCTTTATCCAGGAAGGGCGGCCCCTGACTGAAAGCCAGCAACACAAGTACTGAAAGGCCTACAACCCTGAGGAACTAAATCGTTAGCCTGTGAGTTCACATCCTGTGAAATCAGAAGAGAATGTCAAAGATCAGATCAAAGACCTGACAGATACCTAGAGGTCAGCCTGGTGAGAGCCTAAGACCAACTAACCTATGCTCAAGATCATATCCACAGGACCTGTCAAGATGAATCTGTTCTGTATAAATCTTACACTTATATAGACTTATACAAAATAGATTCTATACAGGTGTAAGAATCTATACAAGTGTAAGAAACTAATACATTTCCCCAACTAATTCTTTCACACTGCAGCCAAAGTGCTCCCTTAAAAAACAATAAAGACAATCTGGGTAATGTGTTACACACTTGCTACTCCAGCACTAAGAGTAAGTTTAGCATATTCTGGACAACATAGTGACTTAAGTGTCTCAAAATGAAACAAAAATAAAAAGCACTAAGGAGGCAGCTTGTTCAAAAACCCTGGGTTTAATCTAAGAATGGGTGGAAAGAAAAATGAGAGAGAGGGAAGGAGGGAGGGGGGAAGACAGGCAGGCAAGGAGGAGGGAATATAAAGACAAAATGTAAACAAAACACTTTGTGATGAAAAAAAATTATAAAAGAAAATATAAAGCCATCAAACCTTTACATGAAAAAAGTAAAGCTTTTAAAGATTTGGCTTATTATTTAGAAAGGAGCACTCAGAGTGAGAAACCATAAAAATGACAAAAGAAGAAATAAGGACCTGGAGGTAAGCGAAGGCCACCAAAGTGCAAATAGGAATCATTATCAGCTTTAAAAACATTTTCCAGATTTCAATAACCATTCCCTCACTTTTCTAACTTCATGTTCCTAATTTCATAACTATCATCATTTTATTTCTCATCACTTTCATAAAATTACTGTACACAAGTCTCTTTCAATCAGCTTTTTATCCTATACATCCAAGTAGGACAGTAATAAAAACAAATCTCAGCTGGACAACTCAGTACACGCATGACACTTAAAGCCAGGGATATAGGTTATGACACAGCGCCTGCCTCGCAAGCACAAGGTCTTGAGTTCAATTTCTGGTACCAAAAATAAATAAAGCCATGTGAGTGGGTGACTTAAACACAGAGAAGACAAAATAAAGACTGTGTCACAGCATACCCTTCCTTTTCAGAAGATATACAAAAAAGAAAAGGAAAGCAAAAGGAACTGAAAAGAAGTGACCAACTATTAAAAAAAAAAGTAAATCAACTAAGTATATAATGTGTTGGACTACAACTGAAGAAACTGTCCAGAGAAGGAACAGACAATGAAGTCAAATAGTACTGATTTACTATTTTACTTATCCTCTCTCTTTCTCCCATACTAAAAATATGAAACTTAAGAATGGTAAAGTGATTAAAATGCTTAGAAAGAAATGCAAGCCTACTGTTTAAAATCACATTCAATTTTAAGTTTCTAAGTCAGTGGAAAATTCATTCAAATTTCAAGGATCTATCATTTTCATTTTGTTAAAAGGAAAAACACAAACAGAAACTTCTAAGAATGCCCAGAATGCTCTTATTTCAAAGAAAATCCTACCTCTGCCAGCTTGTATGGTAAAATGAGCTTTTCTCCCACTGTCACTGTCTTCCTTGTAACTAATGATTCAAACAGCATCTCTTCTTTAACCTAGATAGCAGAAAAGTAAATGAAGTATTTAAGATTTAGAAAACAGATTGAATTATCTCACTGAAAAATCAAATTAAAAAAAAGTTAATGAAATTAGCAAATATACAAGGGCGGGGAGTGTGCCAGTACAATCAAGCAGGCAATTTTAATGATGGCCAAAGTGGAATTTAGACATCTATTCACCCCAATTCCTTCCCTGAAGGGGGAAGAGGCACAGGTAAATAAGAAATAGGTCTTTTTAAAGTCTGGTTTCTGATCAGGATGGAAAAACATGTTTCATTGTGCAGAATATATAAAGTTTAGAATAGTAAAACAAAAACATTTAACAGTCAATCATCCCAAAACCTAAAGACAAGGTCTAAAAAGTTACAGTACTTTTTTGAATTTCAGGAATATTCCTAATGAGTCCTTATCCATATTTTGGGTATTAACTTTTATTCACATATGTTAAACTTTAAGATGAAGCGAATACTCCCTTCATTTTCATTATTTCCCCCAGGCAAATGTTACCATGAATTTGACTTGTATTATTTCAGTTCTTGTTTCTATACTGACCTAACTATGTTGATTATCTAGATCAAGTTTATTTCAATTCTTTTAGGGAACTGAAGGGTAAATACACCATGTTTGTACCATTTATAAACACATTTACCCTGCTTACAAGTTTGAACATTTAGAAAACTAGCTGCAATGCATATTCCTGTGTATAAGTTCAGAGTTCCTGGGAAGACAAACCTAAAAATGGAATTATTAGTTTATACTCTACACATTTTCAGCTGTACAGAATACTGCCAAACCCCCATACACAATTTTTACCAATATGCTCTCAGTCAGATCTTGATTATAATTCGTATCAGACTCTTAATTTTTAAACACTAATTAACATAAAATGCACATGTAATAAAAATATAACATTTCATAAAATTTTGTGTAGACAATACACTACAAAATATATAAAGCAAAAAATACTTAAATATAAGGAAAGGAAGAGCTATAAAGTGATAGAAGATATTATCCTACCACCACCATTGTATGTCAGTCAGATCACAAATTTTTTAGAGACAGGGTCTGGCCATGTAGTCCAGGTTAGGTTTAATTTCACTATGTAGCCCAGATTACCTGCAAACGTACAGTGATCCTCCTGTCTCAACCTCTCTAGTGCTGGATTACTGGCAAGCACCACCATGTCCAGCTTCAACCTGTTAAGTATGCTGTTTGATTTTCCTTTATACATTTTTATCAAATTAGGAGAATTTCCTTTTATTCCTAGTTTTTTTTCCTACCTGGTATTATACTTGCTGAATGTCTGGATTTAAAATAGAACCAGTTAGGATGTTATCATAACATCAAATACTTGACTAAAACAACACCTGAAATGCTTGACTGAAACACTACCTGTTCCCTGACTTTCATTATTTTCAAAACTACCACCTTCAGAAACAAAGGTCCACCTCAGAGAAATTCTTTCCAATGAATGAATCTACTTTCAATACCAGGTACTTCTTTTCTACCCCTTCTACCAGGATTTCATTCAATTAAATTTAGTAAGCAATGCCCAGTCACACAGAGAGAAAAAATAAACACTGCATTTAGAAAAGTAAGAAGGAATTCATTGCTTTCAAAAAGCACTGCAGCCTTGTAATGGACAGAAACTAGTAAACAAATATATAAGCTATTAAACTCCAACACATTCCTGCTGGCTTGAACCACGGATGGTGCATGCATGACTGCCCCATATCGGAGGCCTTGAACAACCAGATGAGACTGTTCCGTGCCACCCAATCAGACAAGCATGTGTGTACCACCAGTAGTTCAAGGGAATGGGCAAGTAACACATTTAGATCTGGCTACCCAACAGACAGACATAAAAACTATGACTCTGTCATCAATGTGCTCCTATACTAAATGGAAATAAATGCTCAATGCACAGTTGGTTAAGACTATTTAAGGTTAAATTCCATAAAGTGGCACATGAGCCAAAAATGATAATGCATAATATTTTAATTAGAAAAAGCATAAGGCCTAAATGCCAAAACTAAAACAACTAAGATGTGCTTCAAAAGGTGAATAGTTAAACACACTGCAGTACACCAGTACAATAAATACTTACAGATAATAAGAAATGTGCTCCCAAACCACAAACACAAAAAAGGATTAATCTTAAAAATCTTTAAAATAAAATAAGTCAATCTAAAAATATGATATTCTACATGATTCAAATTACCTTACATTCTGGACGGAAAAAATCTCTAATGGTCAGTTAAAAAGATCAATGGTCACAAGCATTTTAGGGGGAGGGATAAAACAGGTAAACTGCAGGGTCAGATCAGTGATACTCTTCTGTATTATACCATAATGGTGAACGTATGACTTTATGTTCTTGTGAAAACCCATTCAGCACAAAAAGTGAACTATCATGTAAGACAAATTTTAAGTTATTTAAGAGAGTCCAGGAAGGAATATAGACCACAACAAGCGTCTACTAAATATATGATAAACGCATAAAACAATCTCAGCAACAAAGAAGAGAGTAAAGATCTAAGATCTAAGAGGGTAAAGATCTAAGAAACTCTGGAAATGAGTGGAATGTGTAGGAGTAAAAACAAAAAGCAACTGTCTATAAGCACTGTACTTCAGTAAGAGGCATTTCCCATAATGATTTGCATTTCTTCTTCCTCAGAGCATCCATTCATTACATTGTGTATTATATAATCTGTTCCCATAAATAGTTTAGAAATTCTTCCCATGTGTGAATTTCTACATGTATATCTATCCTTTCTGTATTATAGGGAAAAACAGATCAAAACAAGACAACAAAATAAGTTCCTAGAAAAACATGAAATGAAAAAGATATATAAGACCACAACATTAGGTAATCTACAGTAGTTATTATGCTTTCTCTTATTTTCAGTAGAACTGTCCATATCATCAAGCATAATATAAATGAACATAACATTACATAGCTATTTTAATAAAAACACAACTTTGAAGATATTGTAGGACTTGAAAGCAGTTAATAATGAAAACCAGAATGAATATCTTTTACATCTTGTCATCTTCAGAGTAGTTGCCTCTACTCTTAAGACTTGATACTATCAAGCATACCAAATTTGCATGAAATCAGTCGAGGCTAAATAGCAGTCTAACAAACTATCTTCAAATAAAATCAGTCATAGTAAGACAATGTAAGGAATACAGGGTTTCAGTGTAATTTAACAGGAAATTAATTAAGGATAGTTACCGTGGTATAACCTGCTATTTTTGGGTTAGCTGTCTGTGCCCTCAAATCTAATATGAGTAGATAGACCTGAACAAAATATAATCAAAATAAACAGAGTGATAAGACTACTGTGACTTTTAAATCCTGATACACTATTATCAATGTCCTCTGCCTTCCTTTTTTAGACAATTCCTCCCTTTTCCCTTTTTCAGGGTGCTTTGTATATTTTGGGTTCCACTAGCTCTTTCAGTTTTTAGATTAGGGGGCCAACCTGTTATCTATCTGAGTGTGGCTAAACCTTTTTACCCCTGAGCTTGATCTTGAGCTGTACTCCTTTACTTACTAAAGTCACAAGGTTGTCCTTCCTTCTAGCTGTGTAGTTCTACACTGCTCAAAAGTGTCATAGTTTTCCAATCTATCTGTGGCTGCTGGATGAGTTGTCCCTATTTCTCTCTGGTTTCCTGTCACATATAGCATTGTTTTCTCATCTTTGACTCTCAGTTTATTGTCCCTCTTTCAGGTTGAGTGTATTTCCTGTTCAGAGCATCTCAGTGGATCCTGCCTCCTAATCTACTCTGCCTGTGTTTCTTTTTTTGTTAGTGTATCAGGGAAATCTATATTAAAGATTATAACTTACCGTCTCTGCCTCGTTTCTGCTATTTTATTCTTCTGCCACTATATGTCCACTTTACTCCTCCATTCCACTGTCTGCCCTGTTCATTGAGGCCTCTCTGTCACTGTTGCTAGAATCCTGGTATTTCTTCCTTCTCTCTCTGAAATGTCCTTCAGTATTTTTTGTAGGGTTGGGTTGGAGGCCATGAACTCCGACAGTTCCTCCTTGTCTTGGAAATATCATTTCTCCATTGATTTTGAGAGAGAGTTTTTCTGGGTACATCAGTCTTGGTTGGAGGTTATTTTCTTTCAGGCTTGGACTGTTTCCCCCCAGGCTCTTCTCGAGTTGAGAGTTTGTATTGATAAGTCTGTCGTTATTTTGGTAATTTTTCCATTGTAGGTAACCTTTTCTCTGGCTGCTTTCAATATTCTGTCCTTGTGGTGGATTTCTAAAATCTTATTATATGTCTGGGTGTAGATCTGTTTTGATTATAGGTGGTTCGAGTTCTGCATGCTTCTTTTATCTAGATATCATTTCTTTTTCCTATGCTTGGGAAGTTTTCCTTAATTATATCTGTGAATTGGGAATGGGGATTTAGCTCAGCGGCATAAGCACCTGCCTTGCAAGCAGGTGGTAGTGAGTTCAATCCCCAGTACTGATTAAAAAGAAATTGTATCCGTAAATAGTCTTTGTAGTTACTCCTGCTTCTTCGCTCACGTTTTTTATTTTTAAGTTATAAACCCTCTTGTCATCTTCTAGCCTTTGAATTGTTTCTTTCTGGTTCCTTGTTATTTTTAAGAGATCTTTTCTTTCATGATCACACATCATAAATCTCTCTTCAAGTTTCAAAAGGCTAACTTTAGTTTCTGTCAAGGCATTTTGCCAGCTTTCAATGAAGTTTTTAGTTTCCTGGAAATCTCTTTGGATCTGTTTCATGTATTCTAGATTTTGTTTGTATTCTTTTGTTTTTGTTTTGTCTTTTTCCTTTTTATCAGTACCAGGGATCGAACTCACGACTCTCTTCTTGCAAGGCAGGTGCTTATGCCACTGAGCTAAATCCCCAGCCCCTGGTTTTGTTTATATTCTTGATCAAAGGTTTCTCTTCCTTTTTTGAGTTCCTCTGTTCTTCCATCTGTGTTCTCTTGGGAGGGGCTTATCATTTCTTTAACTAATCTTTTTATATCTTGCCTCACTTGGATCAGAAGTACAGTTTTAAATTCGTCTATGAGGTCATGAAGGTATTTCTTTATTTTGACTGACGCTGTGTCTAATATTGCATGATTACTATGCTGTTTCTCTTCTGTATTTATTCCTCCTGGGCTTATTTTTCCAGGGTCAGCGGCTGGAGGTGTTTTTTTATTTCTATCTCGTCATGTTTCTGGTTTCTTTCAGACAGGTGTGTCCTGGGGGTCTCTGGCCCTCTCCGTATTGCTTAGGGTCTTTCTGAAGCATGCTGACTGGGGTTTTGCTGCCCTCCCCAATTTGCTATTATCTGAGGTATCTTAAAACTTCCTCCCAGGGGCTCAGGATGGTGCAGGGACTCTCACCCCAGGCTGCCCAGTCCAGAGTTCACAGCACATGTAGGCAGGCCCAATTCCCCAAAGCTGGTCGAGCAGGGCAGGAAACCGGAAAGTTCTGGCTCTGTATTTTTGATTATTGTCTGAAGAGGTGTTTTCAAAAGCAGATTCTCTGGGCTCTGTTTGCAGCAGTGGCTCTGTGAGGCTCTGGTCATGTGGACCTGGCAGCAGTGAAGACACACTAGCCCGCCCAGGGACCTTGGGGGCACTCTGATGGCAGGGGCTCGCTCAGTGCTGGCACCATGGGCTCGGGTCCTCGCGCAAGTGGCGAGTGCTTAGGTGGCAATGCATTCCAGCAGGTCTGGTCCCATGCCTGTGACGCCACAACGTGCCCTCCTCCTCACGCCCTCCGGGAAGGCCTGGATACAGGGAGGCGGCGGGAGCTGGTGGGCACCAAGTCTCCACTCCCCCAGCCTCTGGCAGGCCCCTTGCAGCAGAGTTGCAGGTGGCAGCTGGAGCACAGTGGTTCGGGGATGGCCTGTCTCGCTGACAGCCTGGAGGCACTCAGGGTTGCACAGTGGTGCAGCCGGCCAGGAGTGTTTGATTGGTTTTTCTCACCTTAGTTTCTTCTTGGGACTAGAGAATTCCTCTCCTTCTGTTCGGGGCTCCCCATGTTGTATTATGTTGAGTTCTAAGTTGACTATCTCAGGAAGCCTCTTTAGCTGGCTATTATCTATCCATCATCTTTGCTCTGCCCCAAGATGGAAATTTTTTTTAAAAATTAAGACATGTTGTGGATGCATACCAGCTACCTATGATGAATATAATCATTATGTACTACAAACATGTACTAAAAATTTTAAAAATAGAAACATCAACTTAATGATTATCTTTAGATGGTTACATGTAAAATTATTTACAGGTAGGTATGGTGCCACACTATTGTAATCCCAGCATTTGGGAGGCTGAGGCAGGGAGGATAACTGTGAATTCAAGGCTAACCCAGGCTCCACAGTGAGTTTAAAGACAGTGAGACTCTGTCTCAAAAAAACAAAGCAAACAAACAAAACAGAAACATTTATAAATACATATATACACAAGCTTCATATATATACTTTTTCTTGAACTGTCATTTAAGAGGATCTGTAAGAAGCCACACCCATCTGATAAGGTAAACATGGCAACATGGTAAGTTACCCAGGAAAACATGACAAATCATCACTCCAGCAAGAGAAACTAAAGTAACAACGACTTTGATGTGGGATGAAGCATTGTGGGTTAGGTCCTATTCAGCTCATCATTAAAAGGGGTGTTACAAAGAATTAAGATGTATCATATACATGTACCAAACTACATGAATGTATCCCTATGTACTGTAAACACATACTAAGAAATTTACATTTTTGAGCAGTGTCTCCTGAGATCCACGCCATGTTGGAACTTAGGACTCTGGAAAGCCAAGCCAGCACCTCCCCTCCCTGGTAAGCGGCGGTAGTGTGGCCCACTGCAGCCCTTCCAGGGGGAGAACTAGCAGTGTCTCCTGAGATCGACGCCATGTTGGAACTTAGGACTCTGGGAAGCCAAGCCAGCACCTCCCCTCCCTGCTAAGGGGAGGCAGGGTGGCCCAATGCAGCCCTTCCAGGGGGAGAACTAGCAGTGTCTCCTGAGATGCACGCCATGTTGGAACTTAGAACTCTGGGAAGCCAAGCCAGCACCTCCCCTCCCCGATAAGCGGAGGCAGGGTGGCAGACTGCAGCCCCTCCAGGGAGAGAACTAGCAGTGTCTCCTGAAATCCACGCCATGTTGGAACTGAGGATACTGTGAAAACAAATGACCATTCTGCCTCTCTGCTTAGCAATAGTGAACCTACTGCTACATGGCCTAGAGTCAAATATCCCACTTCCCCTATCCTCCTTCTCCTCCCCCTCCCCGCCCATTAGCAAGTGGGAACCAGAAATCTGAGCATCTCCTGTGAGGTTGACCATAGCAAAAAAAGGGGGACTTCCTTCTACCATTTCTTTGAAGGCAAATATTTTTATTACTGTTTTGCTCTTTTCTGATTAATGGTATGCTCTATTCAATATTCTGTTTTGATAAGTTCTATAGTGTTCTATATTTCATCTCATTTTGATATACGGGATTGAAAGAACAACTACTATAAAGATAACAAAATTTACTGTGATACCTATTACTGTTATCCCGACAACCTGCTGTGAAGTTCTGTACCAATTTCACTATACGATCCTAGTTGGCTTTATTCTGACTTGTTCTGTTGTATACTTTCAAAATAAAAATTTAAAAAAAAAGGAAATTTGAAAAAAAAAAAGAAATTTACATTTTTAAAAGCAGTATGTTTTTTCATCACTCACCCAGATACTCATCTTCAAGTAAAATAATCTAAACTTAATCTTACTGTGAAAAGAAATCTCAAATATGGAAAGCGCAAAACATTGCATACACTACAATGGAAATATTCATTCTAGCCAATAAATCAGGAACTATGGGTATGTGGAACAAGTGGAGGTAGGGTACAAAACCCAAACTAAAGCTTCTGTCTAGCACACACTATGTAAGGCAGATCTGAGAAAACAATCTCCTCTTTTACACTCTTACAAAACAGTATGTAATAGAATCATTATTAGTAAAAAGCCTTAACCCACTTACCACTATCAAACAGTTACACCCATTAAAAAAAAAAGATGTCACTGAATATTTGAAGTGACAACTGTAAATGTAATCACTCACTTCTAGTAATTCAGAGACAACTGGCAGAACTTCAGGATTGCAGATATCAATAGAGTCATCCCGGTATGTCTTCTTTTTATAACAGATATTGCCCAAATGTAGTATTGCTGAGAGGAGAGAGAAAATCCTGTGAAAATAAAAGCACAAATTACAGCTTCTCACACATGTGCATTTTCAAAATTCATTTTATTTCAAAATTCTAGTTAAGTAAACTAATCAGTAAATATATAAAGTACAATATATAACCTTCAAAAAACAAATATGAAACTAATTATTATAACTAAAATGTACTATTTACTTTCCATCAGGTACTACGCAAAGTGCTATACTTGACCTTATGTCATTATTATGCCATTTTTAAATGTAGTTGTTTCAAGAAGACATCTTGTTTTTGCCTAAATTTGCTCAGTCTTTTAACAACTCCATTCCTTTTTAAATGCTATCCTTCTTGCCTAGAATGCCTTCTGGATTATGTATTTCAGAAAACCTAAATCAGACTCTCCAAAGAAAAGGCCTTAGAACCTACATTTTAGTCAGATGTCCTAGCTGATTTTTATAATTACCTATTTTATGGTACAGAAAATAAATATTTTTTAAAATAGTGTGAAGGCAGTGAGTGTATTACTAACACTAGGTCCCTACTGTGAAATACTTCCCTTGGCCACTCTTACTCACTTCCCTCCTGCACCAGGGGATACAAGCCCTCCACATAGGAAGTAATCCCCTCACAGGTATACTATATCCCAGAAGCTCCAGCTGACTTAAGAACCTTATTGTATTCATTTCCTATCTCTCATCAGCTGAACCTGAAACCCTTCTGTCAAAATATTTTTGTGTTTACTTCTCTCTTTATTATAACATGTTCATGATGACGTCGTAATTCATTCATCTTGCTGCCAGGCAGCTCTGAACCACTGGTGGTTGAAACTGGCAGGAACAAGTTAAACAGACTATCCTAGACCCCACATGTTTTCCTTTCCTTCATAAATGAGCTTACTGAAATACTAAATTTATTATCTTCACCTCATTATTTCTATCACTGCCACACCTGGCTTCTGCTACCCACTAATGTTAACTCAGAAGTGACCAAGAACATCCACATAGCTAAGTCTGTAACTCCTCTGACCATTTTAGAGGTATTCAACACAGATGAACACACCTCTCCAACCTCCTCTTTATGCACACCTTCACACTTTGTACAGTTTTCTTAGGATAGAATAAACCTGATTTATTTGTGAAAATTTAACTACATTATCTTTCTAAAATTAGGAAAATGATTCAAAATAAAGATACTGCAAGATATATTTTGAATCACCATCTAATTTATAATCATTTTTCAAATAATTTAAAAGTTTTAAGTTTGATGTCATTAAGTTTCAAAGAAAATACAAGTCAGTTAAAAAGGAAGGATTTCATAAAAGTATTGTAGTATGAATTAGAAAGTAAACACAGTATCAACATTATAAAAACTATGGTAACACAATATATGACCCAATTTTTAAAAATTAATTTTAGTAGCAGTTTATATAGTTGCTAATTGTTTCCATATATTAGGTTCAAGAATCAGCACTTTAACGTACTTACACACAAAAATATATGATATATACTCTCCAGCAATAATGAATGCCATATAATTAATCTAACGCATTAAAACCAATATTAATAAGGTCTCAAACTGTATACAAATTCTGATTCTCAAAAGGCTTATAATCTAGTACTAGGTGAGAGTAATAATTACACTGAGACGTGTATCTTAAAATACAAAAGGCAAAAATAGCACAATTATAGAAACCTTTCATTTAAAAAAAAAAGTCAAAAGGCAAGGTATAAATAGTGCTTTAAAAATAAGGTTTTCAATTCACAGAACCAAAATTCAAGGCAGTCTTTTCTCGATTAGGTCTACAAAGAAAACAATGTACTTTACTAGCAGAGTTTGTCACAGAGGAGAAAGTAACACATAAAATACACTCTATACAAAACAAGTGGAGAAGATAGATCATTTCAAACAGACACTGTAAATCTCCAGAATAAAACATAGTATTTTAGAGAACAAAACCAGTCTAGGTAAAATGTAATAAATTGTGTTCGGGAATATCTGAAGAGAAAAGCTGAATGACAGGGAAGGATCACACTGCAGGCCAGACTACCAGAAACAGACTGCTTCCGGTAGTTTTCAATGTGAGATCCAGTCACATCAGAAAGCGCCAAAGATAGTTTCTTGGTATCCCAAAAGGAAACATGATAATACCAACTTATGCTGTTAATTTTTTTAAAATGTCACTATGTAATTTAATACAGGTTGAATATCCTTTTCCAAAATGCTTAAGACTAAAAGGGTTTCAAAGGGTGGAATATTTGCATAAATTTTACTGCCAGAGTATCCCAAATCTCTGACAATGTAAATTCTGAAGCGCTCTTAAAATGTAAACCCTTCTGCGTCCTAAGCTGTCACATGAAAAACTTTCAGAATTTGAAGCAAATTGAATTTTGGATTTTTCAGATTAGGAATGCTCAATCTATATATATACACTGGCACTTCATTCAGTTCTTGTGTTAGCCAGTAACCAAATTAGGTGTCCCTTGCAGTAAATGAGGTAAGAGCAGAAAAAATATGGCATGGAACATGGTGAGGGGTACTTTCAGTAATTTATTAACTTTCAGTAAGTTATAGTTTCTGTAACCAACAAATGGCTTTACATAGTCTCATATTATATTCTTTGGCTTTAACTTTGCATTTTAAAAAATTCTAGCAAAAAGACTGTCAACTGAAGAGTCACACCAACAAGATAAGCACAATCAAATAAGAAAACAGGAAAGGTAATATTCTACTTCTGCTATGAGCTGATCACTCCAGAGATTACAAACTGACAATCTCATCAGACTTGACATGTTTATCAACACTAATTCTCAAAAAAACAAAGCTAAGTAGAGCCAGATGCAGTGGTACATGCTCACACTCCCAGTCACGTAGGAACCTGATACAGGAAGATCACTTGAGCCCAAGAGGTCAAGACCTCCCTGATCCACATAGCAAGACCCTGTCTCAAAATGCAAAATAAAAACCTAAAACTATTTCTTCCGGTGAGAGTCAAAGTTGTGTCTTTAATTTAATAGTATACCCATAAATTAAATATACAGAAAAATACATAAAAAATTGTTTTGCCAATACGTATGCATGACTTAATAAGAACAGAGGTAACTTAGAAAGAAAATGGGAAACTACATAAAACAGCCATGGTGGAAGGCCTGGATGATGGCCCCAACTTCCTCTTGGAGAAAGACTGAGGAATTAAAGCAATAAATGTAGCTCTTCAAAGTGATGCTGCTCTGCAGATGGACATGTCTGATGCTCTTAGTGAGAGGGATAAAGTAAAATTCACTATCCATACAAACGGTTCATTGCCCAGTTTTAAAATGAGTTTTCTGTTGTTTGACAACATGCAGAATTTATCTGGCTTCAAGATTCTTTTGTTGAAAATGAAGACTATGTATGTTATATCACTCCTCCAGCACCACCGAGGCCTGATTTTGCTGTTTCATGCAAAAAGCTACAGAAGCTTGGAGAAGGGGAAGGGTCAATGACAAAGGAAGAATTCACAAAAATGAAACAGGAACTAGAAGCTGAGTATTTGGCAACATTCAAGAATACAGTGGCAAGACATGAACTGTTCCTGTGTCATGTGGTAGCTCATCCTATTTTGAAGAAAGATTTAAATTTCTATGTCTTCTTGGAATATAATCAAGATTTAAGTGTTTCAGGAAAAAATAAAACAGAAAAACTTGAAGATTTCTCTTAAAATATGATCAGGTCAGCAGACGTAGTCATTGTTTCAGGCTAACGGACATAGATGATTTCTACGAGCATAAACAAAAATTTCTTTTAGAATATCATAATGGAATTAAGGATACATCTGCTAAATTTGATAGGATGACAAGATCCCACAAAAGTGTTGCAGAGGATTACAACAGAATTAGTTCTTCATTATATGTTTTAGGAACTCAGGATTCTATTAACATATGCAAGTTTTTTCTCAACGTTTTAGAACTGTTTTTTGTTGTTGTCGTCGTTGGTTGGTGTTGCTGTTGTTTTGTAGTTCTGGGGACTGAACTCATGACCTTATGCTTGCCAGGCAGGCGCTTGTGTCACTGACCTAAATCCCCAGACCAGAACTGTTTGATAAAATAAGAAAAATGGAAGCACGAGTATCTGAAACTTTCTGATCTTTTAAAATATTACTTAAGAGACCTATCAAGCAGCTAAGGTCCTCCTCAACCGAAGATCTCGGTCATTAGTAGATTATGAAAATGCTAATAAAGCACTGGATAAAGCAAGAGCAAAAAAATATAAAGATGTTCTGCAGGCTGAAACTTCCCCAAAACTATGTTATCACAAGTTTGAAAAAAAAAATCTGAATCTGCAAAACAAGAACTTACAGACCTTAAGAAAAGAAGAGTTGCTGCATTCAGAAAAAAATTTAGTGGAACTTGCAGAATTAGAACTGAAGCATGTCGGGAGTAACCACCAGTTGTTGCAGAACTGCCTGGCAGTGTTGATACACATGAACCACATTCAGTTCCTGTGACAAATGGCTGCCTTCCTTCAGGTATTTTTGTTCTCCTAATGACACTAAGCATTTCTGCTCACCAAAAGCAAAGCTGACAAAGTGCATCTTCTTCTCTGAGAAGCGGTGGTCAACTCTATACACAGGCAGTGTGGCCTGTGCCACGCGCTGTACTCCTGGACAGCGTCCACCACATGCACCTGTCCTATTCTGAAGCCCAGAGTCCAATATTTCTTTAAGTAGCCTTGATAACTGAGTTTATTTTATAAACAGTATTCTTTATGGCTGTTAATCATATTTATCTTTAAATCACTCCTGAAGTTTAACCTTTTCAAATTACACCGTTCAGGTAAAGATAGCCTTTCCCGACTTTTTAAAATTTTATTTTTAAAAAGTATTGTCCTGTATACTTAGTTCATTCATGTATTCTTGATAAAGCATCTTAACGAGATTTAATTTTAATTAATCATCATAAAAGTTTTGGACCAGACTTTACTTAATCTAAGTATGGTTTCTAAAGAAAAGCAAATGCATTAATTAAACTTGTAGACCAAAACAATTGTTGTAAAATAACCAATATGCATCACTCTAAAATTTGGAGTAGCTATAATAAATGTACTCCAATATTTAAGAAAAAAAAGAAAATGGGAAACTATAAAGTGTTATGAAGTAACAGTTTTTAAAGTAAGGTCAATGAATAGGCTTCTGAGGCATCATACATTCTTGTAATTATATGCAAATGTTTATGGATGTGTATTTTACAAAAAGAAGAGGTCCAGTTTTCATTAGATTCTCAAAGACTTTATGACAGTGAAAAAGAATGAAAAACAATCCTAAAGATTAATGAGGCAATGGTTAGACAACTTTAAAAAAGAGGCAGGGGACCAAAATTTTCCAGAACACATCATGATTTATTCTCTACTGGGGGATGAGGATACAATAAATAAACTCACTGTCTTCGTGTCTTGGGAAGAAATCCTACCATCTCCATAGCCAGTTGTAAGCGCTCAAAATCATGCCTCAAATCTTCTCCTTCCACTGTGAAGCAATCCTGCTTAAGGTAAAAGGAGAAAAGGATCAAGATTATTGGTTTTTTTTTAAAAATGTGAGCCATTCAGAAATATGGTAATTTAAGGTAAGTGCATTTACATATAAATACAAATTACAGCTGGTGGAGTAGACATGGATATATTAGACCTCTTATTTCGCCATGAGTACAATAAAACCATACATACCAAAATATCAGGGTACTTTTGTTCTTCCTTTCACAGTCATCAAAACAAGGTTCTCAAAAGTAACAAGATAAAATGCTAGCAGTGCTTATAAAAAACCACTGAAACCAAGATTGATTTTAAAAAGTTTTGAAGTGTTTTAGAAATGCAATAGATTTATGAGAGTTCAATTCCACATGCAAATGTTTTTTGTTCAACAAATATTTAACAAGTGCCCACTATGAGCAAGGCACTGAAATAAATCCTGCTAACACCAAAACAAATTGTAGAAGAGGCAGTAATATAGTTAAGAAGTGAACCCTAGACTTATAGTTGTTAATGAAGTAATATGGACGACACAGAAATTAACCAAGGAAACAAAGTATATAGCATATACAGCAAAATTACAAAGGCTTTCAATGAATATACCACATGAGCCAATAAAAATAGTTGAGGACTACCAATTTTTTAGTGTAAACTTTGCATTCCAGTTTCCAAAATAGTCGAACAGTAACACTGTAGATATACTCTAAATCTTTAAATCCTTTTACTACATGTTCTTACACTTCTCTGTACTTGCACTGTCTAAAACCCCGCAGTGTTTACTTTATCCCTCTCTTCCAAAGAAATGTTCCAACCAATATTCCATAAACAGAGAACTCTTACCTTTTTTTAATATTGACATTTCATTTCAACAGAAGAAAAAAATATTTTTTATTACCTGTCTTACTGCATCAAGTCAGTGACAAGAACACAACAAGGAAGTACAGAAATATATAACTGCTAGATTATTGAACAAAGCATAAATACTGAACTGAATGAAAATCCCTTCTTCATAAATAAAGTATTCATTTAAAAAAAAGTATGGGGGCTGGGGGTTTAGCTCAGCGGCATAAGCACCTGCCTTGCAAGCAGGCGGTCGTGAGTTCGATCCCCGGTACCGATAAAAATGAAAAAAAAAAAAAAAAAAAAAGATAAAAAAAGTATGTACCAAGTATCTATTATCTCTGAAAAGAAAAAAATAAAATCCACAAAAAACCTGAGGCAGAGACTTCCGGGAGAACATGGCGGACAGATAGCAGCAGCTACAGAAGCTCTCTGAAAGACCCAGCTTAGAATCCAGGAATGGTGCGGAGTGAGGAATCCTAAGAGAGGAAATATGCCCTGCTGACCCAAGAACGAACTGGGCTGAGAGAAACCAACTGGGAATGCAATCCTGGTGCTATAAAAGGAACACATAAAGCCTCAGCGTGGAAGCTGGAGCCCGCGCCATTGGAAACCGCAATCTGGGTTTCCCGCCGCCACGGCTGCGTCTGAATCAGCTAGGCAGGGAGAGATGCGCGAAAGCTCTGAGAACTGGAATCGGTGAACGGAGTTGAGAGTGGGACAGGCAGGGAGCTGTGCATCAACCTGCGGGGAGTGAGAGAAACTGGGACTCTTCCACGATCTAGGAGGCTCCAACAGAGGACATTCTGAGACCGGGCAGACTTGCCGGAACAGGGTGCTGTAGTGACTTCAGTCACATATCCCCCTCTCAAGCAGGATTGGTGAGCAGTGCCTAGCTTATGTGATGTTGCTGGCTGAGACCCAGTAGGCTAGCACAGCCCAGGTCCCAGCGCCTGAAGGTGACCTGGAGGGGCGGGCCTGGCACAGGCTGCTCAGGTCCTTAACTCCTTGGTGCGTTGCAGGGGGCAGGAACACCTAGCCAGCGAAATTCAATCAGACTGTGGCCAACAGGGAAGGAAACTGGGCCTCCTATATATACTTGCATATATAAGGAACAAAGAATATGGGAAGAGGGAGCAACAAGAAAGGCCCCTCAGCCCCCAATCCCGAGAAACAGGCAATAGCAGACATGGCACCAACACACATAAAGCGCTATCTCCAGAGCCTCATATACGAATTCATGAATGAAGTTATTAATGACCTGAGGCTAGACATAAGCAGAGTAGTTAGAGAAATGCTAAGCATCACCCAAGAAAAAACAGATGATGGAATAGAAGAACAGAGAAAGAGGGGAAAATTCTTTGATGGAGAAAATAGAGAAAGCATAGAATACGTGAAGCAGGTTCAAAGAGATTACCAGAAAACTAAAAACTCTATCGAAAGCTGGAATAACAGCTTGAAAGAAACTAAGGATAGATTATCTGAACTGGAGGCCAGATTTGTAATATGGGAGCATGAAATGAAAAACTTCTTAAAAATAACAAAGAAACAAACAGCAATAATACAAAGACTAGAAGATGATAAGAGGATCTATAACTTAAGAATTAAGAACATAAAAGAAGAGGTAGGGACTCAAACAAATGAACTACAAAAGCTACTCGCAGAAATAATCCAGGAGAATTTTCCTAATTTAGCAAAAGGTAAAGATACTCAAATTTAGGAAGCATTCAGGACCCCAGGCACCTACAACCCAAACAGAGCTTCACCCAGGCATATAATAATCAAAATACCAGAAATCCAATATAAGAACAGAATATTAAAAGCCGTTTATTAAGAGACAAGAAACAGGGAACACCCATCAGAATTACAGCAGACTTCCTGGCACAAAACATCAAATCACGAACAGTGTGGGGGGAAATAATTCAAGCTTTGAAAGATAATAACCTCCAGCCAAGATTGATATATTCTGCACAACTATCCCTGGAAATTGATGGAAAAACAAGGTGCTTCCAGAATAAAGAGGAACTAGGGGAATATGCAACCACTAATTCAACTCTACAGAGAATACTGCAGGATATTCTAAAAAAGAAAAATACGAAGAATCCAGAAATAGTGGCACAGAGGCCACAATGAATGGAGCAGAAAACAAAATGAAGAAGACAAACTGACAACTAATGACAGAAAAAGAGCTCAACAGACATGAGGCAGAGAAGATTGGATGATAGGAACAGCTATTTTGGAGAAAACGACATCATAATAGGTAATGCTGATTTAGTATCATCTTGTTTTGAAGTCTCATCAAGCTTTTGCTCTTCTGTCTCCATTGGTCTTAGCATGTTGTATCTTATTGGATTTTATTATATGTGATAGTATAAACAAAAAGTTTTATAGACAAGGAGATTATACAGAAACCATTGTTCGTTTTCTGTTGGTTGATTCTAAATACTCTGTAATGCTGTCATTCTCTTGAATGGTTTTACATTGTTTTGATATATTTGATGCTACAGTATATGAAGTTATACTCAAAGATTTCAAGGAAAGAGACAATATGGTAGCTACTTTTATGTCAAGATTATTTTGTGGTGAAACACTATTTTGCTTAAATGGTTATGTTTTGATCTGCGCTCTTTTGTTGTTTTATCTCAATCTCTCTTTTATCTCAATCTCCATTTTATTATTTACTTTTTTATTTTTATCCTTTTAATTAAGGGAAAAATAATAAAATAGTAGGAAAAATAAAAATAAAATAGTAGGAAGAATACAAAAAAATAGTAGGATATATTATAGTAACCCACTTTCATTCACTATTAACTTGATTTGAAGCCCTGTATTGCTCTCACCATCTTGTTTTGACTGATGTTCCTCTATTCTGTTTTGCTTGATAGTACCAGGTTCGAAAGTATAGGCAACAGCTGTGAAGATAGTGGGATTCATTATGACGCCCATTCTGATTGACTATTATCTACTTTTGAAGACCTGTAATGTCTCCAATGTTTTGGTTTTGTTGGTTTCGTTCTTTACTGTTTTGTTCAATTTTATTATAACTGATGGTATTAGGCAATTCTATTAGAGATAGAGGGAGGCATTATGGTAACCATTGTTGATCACCTTGTATTATGTTTTTACATTAGCTATTATGTCCACCCTTTTGATTTGACTGACTCTGTTCTGTTATGTCACATTTGGTTTTACTCTCTTCTAAAAAAAGTAATAACTATGGGAGCAATAAAACCCAAAATATGTAATAGTCATTGTACAAAAGAGAGGAAAAGAAAGTGCTCTAAATTATATAACTGCATGTATATTTAAATGTATAAGACAGACAATGATATTACTGAGTTTTGTTGGATCACTGAACAGAACTGTTTGGTCTCACTGTTTGAATGTCCACTATTATAAGCTTAGATTTGTAATGAACAAATATTTCTAAGATGACAATATGTAATCCATTAACTAGTGATTTCCTACTGTTTATTTTTTTTCTGAAATTCTGTATAACTTGTACCCTTTTTTTGCTTTTTTTTTCTTTTTCTCCTTAAGTAAAATTAAAAAAAAAAAAAAACCTGAGGCATTGTAAGAATGAGTTAAAGGTTCCATCTAAATATATGATTTTAAATTAAACATTTAGAATGGCATTAATATTTGGTGGGCATGGTGGCACATGACTATAATTCCAGTGTTTGGGAGGCTGAGGCAGGAGAATCACCAATAAGTCAGAGCCTACCCTGGGCTACACAGCCAGTTCAAGGAAAGCCTGAACTATATGATGAGATCCTATCTCAAAGAACAGGGAAAAAATTTTTTTGAATTTTCTACATGCAAATGTACACACACGCAGCTTTTAAAAAATTTTTTAGATTTCCTGCAACAAAAGTTCTAAGAATATATTTAATTTTCAGACTATAAATTTTTCCTAAGCAATTTTAAAACACATTCTATAGAAATGACAATGTCCTCACTAAAACAAATTTATGTTGCCATTATTTTTAACATGTGATAAGGCTTTTAAAAAAATTCCTCTGCTTCTATTTCCCCAAAAATTAGTTCATTCCTTTATTATTTAACAAACAATTTTCTATAACAACAAGTAGAAGGTAAGCAGGTCTATGCTTCCACTGGTACAAACTCAGTACAGGAATGATTCTTATAAAAAGTAAATTAAGCAATTAGTGCCTATAAAATATTGGGAAAGTAAACTAAAGAGGCAACAAATATAAATGCATTTATATCTGTTGTTATCCTTAAATCAAATGTTCTTCAGAAATATACTGTGGTCTCAGGAAATAACAAAATCATAAATTTTTCAAGTATGTTCTGATTCCCTTAGCTGTTTCACTGATGACAACTGTACAAGAAAAACTAAAAACAAATCAAATCCTCCAGAACAAAAGTGCTGTTATCTTAGGCTTGGGTATCTTAGTTCAGGTAAATATAGGAAGTTAACCCTAAGGCAGACAAAAATTCAAGTGTAAGTAGCAAGGGAAGTGCTATGGAGGCTTTTTTGTTTTCCTGAATGAAGAGGACTATCTCTAGAGCCATGGTGGCAAATCTATGGCACAGTATTACCACACTATCTCTTATCAGTCATGAGTTGAGGATGTACAGATACAGGATCAACAGCTCTAATTCCAGTCATTTCTCAAAGGCAATATAAGGCTTTGGAAAGAGCCTTCAAAGTCACCAAAATACAAATACTGGTTAGCTAGAGAACAATGAAATTTCAGGGTCCAAGGAAAGGCAAGGCACAGCTGAACAATTGCTAGAACCCCTTCCACTGAAAGATGCATGCCATCTATACACATAATCAAAAAACCGTCACTCTTTAAATAGGTCTGAGAATGAATTAATTGAACTGCTGGGAGTCTGAAAACTAATACAGGGGCTGGGTATTTAGCTCAGTGGCATAAGTGCCTGCGTGGCTGGTGTGAGGCTGTGAGTTCAATCCCTGGTGCCAAAAACAAAGACAAAAAGAAAAAAAAACCTAAACACACAGATGAGCATATTGAGTCATGTCAAGTCAATCTCTTTCAAAGAACAAATTCTTAAGCATTTCTTAGACCATTTCTGAACAACAGTAGATCAGTTCTGTCCTACTGTAAACTCTGAATACATAATCAGTTGTGCTATCTGCAATATATGTTTGCAGTGCCAAACTTGCTTCCCAAAGAGGCATGATGCCCTGCATGCAGTAAGTAAAAGGCAGAAAGGAGAAGTATCTTGACAGTGGCAAAACAACTTAAAGTGTTTCTATTAAAATTCATCAGAATCTGAACAATTTAAATGTCTCACATATATTTCCCAAAATGTTAAACTTGAACCCAAAAATTTCCTCTTTATTAAGAAATGGCAATGCAATTAAACTTTGAACAACAAAAAAAAATATCCACACATACTGCTCTCTCAAGTCAGAAATAGGTTAGTTTGGCAATCAGTGGAGTTTACACTCTCATGCAGTAAGAAAGTCATTCTTTAAAGCAAGGACTTAGACATGCTATGTTTTGGGGAAGAATATTCAACAATTTAATTCATTAGTTAATAAATATAGACAAATGCATCTGTGTTTCTAGCCTTCCACATCTCACCTAATTACAGAAGAAAATAGCCTTTCTGTGTTTTCATAAGTTTGTCTTTATCAAATTCAATAAGCAAAGTAAAATGTATCATCTATACCCTTAAATTATTCAATTTAAAACCTATGCCAGATATGTTAGTACATGCTTGTAATTCCAGTACTAAAGGAGAACTGCAAGTTTAAGTCCTGACTGGGCAGTTTTGGGACTTAGATTCTATCTCAAAATAAAAAAAAAAAAAAAAAAAGAAAACAATGGCTTGAGATATAGGTCAATGCAAATGCCCTCTTATCAATCCCCAGTACTACAGAAAAAAGAAGTAATAATAGTACAATACTTTAATCTTTGAAAAATTTTATTAAGCCTCTGACCTCTCTTCCTATTGCTAAAAATCAGAGAAAATATATACATACATTCATTACATGAAAAAACTGACATGTGAAATAAGAAGTATGTAATTTTTAAATAAATAATAATTACTCATAATAATGGCCTATAAAACAACTAAAAACTAATTTAAAAATAAATCTCAAATCAGGTGTGGTGGCAAACACCTACAATCTCAGTACTCAAGAGGCTGAGGTAGGGAGATCACTTCAAGTGTGGGGCAGCTTGGGCTACACAGTGAGTTCAGGCCAGCCTGAACTACATAGTGAGATTACACCTCAAAAAAAACCAAATCAATCAATCAGTCATTGAGAACAAAAGCCTACAGTACATACAGATTCACATCAGTGCAGAACTGGGAATGAGATCAACTGTTCATCAATATAAATGCTTAATGTAGATTAAAATCACAAAAAGATAAGTTGATGGATTTTTAATCAATAATCCAATCATTTAAAGAAATTAAACACTATTGTCTTCTTTCCTAGAAGTCTGTATTTCAGTTGATCTTCATTCTGACTGAGTTACAAGGTGGAGATAAATGAGCAGTGTGAGGCCCTTTAGCAGGAACACATAATACTGACCGGCTCAGAGTCATAGCAATAATCATCCCAGCTCTGTCTGAGGGGTTTCTTTGTTATCTGAAAGTAAGGTAGATTAGTTAAGTAGAAGTTATTAGTAATGGTTATTACGCTTCTCTAACAATTTTTTAGAGTACTGTGCAGGCAGCACCGCTGTTAACCAAAGAAAAGCTACTTTGCACAGCACCATAAAACCAGAAATATACATTCAGATTCTGGGAGACCATTCTGTCGAACCCGTAATGCCACTGCCTAGTAACCCTGATATTTATATTAACTGCTAATCCCATATCCTAGGAAAATTGACATTATAACAAGAATGTGATGGCCATTGATTATAAAAAGATACAGAAAGATAGTAAAAACATGAATTTTCTATTATGAGTAACTATCATCTCACAGGTGAATAATACCTTGTAAAAACAAATTATTTTATCATCCATATACAAGGCAAGTAATTTAAATAGCAGAGAAAAAAATCAGAAGTTGAATTAGAAATTTTTAAAATTTTGCTTATTCCATCCTGTGTCTGGTATTATATCAGAAAGTGACATTTCATATAACTTTGAAATTAGTATATCAAATACCAATAAGGTAAGATGGTTTATATTACCATATAATTTCAAAATTAAGAAGTATCAGTTATATAGCACACTCTGTATCTTGGGAAAAGTGTTATGATTTAACTTTAATAACCCTAAATTTTTACTATAATCTTAATTTTTTTGTTGCTGTTGTCTTGCTATGTGATTCAGGCTGGCCTTGAACGCACTATTTAGCCCAGGCTAGCCTCATGTTCAAGGTGATCCTCTTGCTTTGGCCTCTCAAGTACTAGAACTAGGCATGTGCCACAATGCCCAGCCATACTACAACCTTCGAGTCATCATCCAAGCGTGAATTAATTACAAAATCTATGTCAAAATCTATTTCATTGATTGGAATAAAACAATTTTCCATAGATATTACATCTTACCTCAAACAAAAACTAAGGGAAGACAATATATTGTTTAAATGGTCTACTGTTCTAAATTCAGTTAATGTTGGTTAATATAAGGAATGAAGTTAAGAGAATGTTCAATGTTATGAAAAGTTATGAAAATTATTTCTTTTGTAGAAGATTAGGGATGAATTCATAGAGTTTAAAGGAAAGATTCAACTTCTACGTCATTTGCCTTTGAGAGTTTCATACTGATATTTATGAGGACTATTTATCAAATTATATAGTCATACTCAAATCTGAATCATAGTATCATGGCAAAGCAGTAAGTACACTAGACTGCAAAGCACATCAATCGGATTCTAAGCACTCCCTTGCAAAAGATAAACATTAATCATTTACTAACATTCATCCTTCTTGGATGTGCAAAAGTCATTCTGCAGGGGCTGGAGATTTAGCTCAGCACCATAAGCGCCTGCCTTGCAAGCAGGCAGTCGTGAGTTCGATCCCCGGTACCGATAAAAAGGAAAAAGACAAAAAAAAAAAAAGTCATTCTGCAAAGAATACACCACTTTTCTGATATGGAAAGATCAAAGTCATTATTGTCTCTTAAAGATTCTCACAAAACACAAAAATAACAAAAGTAACAACTTTTTGACATTCACATAAGGGTAGGAATTTTTAAATTTAAAAATCACAGACATAAATTTTTAGATTGCATGTATGAAAACGTCAGTTAATATCCATTACCAGACTGGGCATGGTGGCACACACCCATAATCACAGCACTCAGGAGGCTGAGGCAAGAGGATCACTGCAAGTTCAAGACCAGACTCAACTACATATCAAGGCCAGCCTAAACTACACAGCAAGGCCCTGCCTCCAAAAAAAAAAAAAAAGAAAGAATCCATTACCAGGTTTTGAAACAAAAGCACCAGAACAAAAGGGTTTTTTAGGAACTAAAATTAATTCTGTCCTACATTTTAAGATAGTTTTCAAGAACTCTCACCTCGGGCTGGGGATTTAGCTCAGCGGCGTAAGTGCCTGCCTTGCAAGTGTGTGGTCGTGAGTTCGATCCCCAGTACTGATTAAAAAAAAAAAAAAAAAAACAAGTAAAAAAAAAAAGAACTCTCACCTGATTGAGGTAATGATACTCCTCTGGTTGTTTAAGATGAAATGCTAACCTCTCTTCTTCACTTGCTCCTGCCAGGAGGTAATAGAATACATGGTAATTCCTGTTGAAAACAAAGAAAAATACAGCTTTATAGTAAATATGATTTATAGTAATTATTTTTTTAAAAAAATAATAAAACATTTATGCTAGGCGTGGTGGTCCAGTCCTGTAATCTCAATACTCAGGAGGCTGAGGCAGGAGGACTGTCACAAATTCGAGACCAGCCTGGGCTACAAAGCTAGCTCAACATCAACCTGAACTGTGTAACAAAACCCTGGCTCAAAAGGATACATACGAATGGAGCAGAGAACAAAATGAAGAAGACAAACTGACAGCTACTGACAGAAAAAGAGCTCAACAGAAATGAGGCAGAGAAGATTGGATGATAGGAACAGCTATTTTGGAGAAAATGACATCTTAATAGGTAATACTGATTTAGTATCATCTTGTTTTGAAGTCTCATCTAGCTTTTGTCCTTCTGTCTCCAATGGTCTAAATAGGTTGTATCTTATTGGATTTTATTATGTACGATAGTATAAGCAAAAACCTTTTAAAGACAAGGAGATTATACAGAAACCATTGTTCATTTTCTGTTAGTCGATTCTAAATACTCTGTAATGATGTCATTCTCTTAAATGGTTTTACATTGTTTTGATATACTTAATGCTACAGTATACGAAGTTGTACTCAAGGATTTCAAGGAAAGAGACAATATGGTAACTACTTTTAGGTCAGGATTATCTGGTGGTGAAACACTATTCTGCTTAAATGGTTATGTTTTGATTTGCGCTGTTTCGCTGTTATGCCCTCTTTTATCTCAATCTCCACTCCATTATTTACTTATCTTTATCCTTTTAATTAAAGGAAAAAAAAATAGCAGGATATATTATAGTAACCCACTTTGACTTTCCATTATCTCGATTTAAAGCCCTGTATTACTCTCACCATCTGGTTTTTAACAGATGTTCCCCTATTCTGTTTTGCTGGATAATATCAGGTTCGAAAGTTTAGGCATCAGTTGTGAAGATAATGAGATTCATTATAACGCCCATTCTCGTTGACTTTTATCTACTTTTGAAGACCTACAATGTCTCCAATGTTTTGGTTTTGTCGGTTTTATTCTTTACTGTTTTGTTCAATTGTATTATAACTAACAATATAGGCAACTGTATTAGAGATAGTGGGAGGCCTTATGGTAACCATTGTTGATCACCTTGTATTATGTTTTTACATTATCTATTACGTCCACCCTTTTGACTTGACCGATTCTGTTCTGTTATGTCACATTTGGTTTTACTCTCTTCCAAAAAAGTAATAAGAACCGTGGGAGCAATGAAACCCAAAATGTGTAATAGTCATGGTACAAAAGAGAGGAAAAGAAAGTGCTCTAAACTATATAACTGCATGTATATTTAAGTGTATATAAGATAGAAAATGATATCACAGAGTTTTATTGGATCATTGAACAGAACTGTTTGCAGTATCATTGATGGAATGTCCACTTTACAAGCTTTAATTTTGTGACTTGAACAATTATTTCTAAGATGACAATATGTAATCCATTAACTAGTGATTCCTACTATTTTTTTCTGTAAATCTGTATAACTTGTACCCTTTCTCTGCTTTTTTTTTCTTTTCTCCTTAAATAAAATTTTTTAAAAAAGGATACATACATACATACATACATAAATCAAACACTTATCTGTAAAACATGTTCACTTTATTTCCTATATTAATATGTGATGACTCAATATTTAAGAACCTCAAAAAAAATCTTCAGATGATGAATAGAAGAGGGATAAAGACAGTGAAACAGCAAAATTAGGACATCTGCAAATTCTGTATTCCCTAAAATCAATGAGGAATCTGGCAAATTTGTCAGAATTAAGTTTCGTAGAACTCTGGAAAGTAACCAAAAACTTGCAGCAATCCAGGTAGTGTTTATTCAAGAAAAGCAGCTAAGTTGGCTATGGTGGCACACGCCTGCAATCCCAACACTCAGGAAGCTGAGGCAGGAGAATTGCTGCAAGCCTGGGCTACATACTGAGTTCAAGGCCAGCCTGAACTACATAATGAGACCGAGTCTCAAACCACAACATAACTAACAAAACAATAATAAAGAACTGGAAAACATAAAGCCGAAGCAAACAGAAGAAAGAGAATAGTGCTAGAGATGAATTATAGAATAAAGAACATTAATTGTAAAAAACAAACAACTCTTCAAAAACAACTACAACATTAACCTTTGTCTAAACTGAAGAAAGAAACAAGCAAAGTGATACATTTAAATTTAGGAGCAAAAGGAAGGGAAACATTACTAATTACCCTACCAGAAAAAAAATCAGATTGTAAGAAATAAACAAATTAGAAAACATAAAATAGAGGATTCTTACCAGATCTGTCCAAAGAAAAAAATATAAATTCTAAACATATTTCTAATAACCAGTGTTTGAATTAGTAATCAAAACCTTACACCAACTAATGACCAGAACCAAAATCAGTTTTGCTGATAAACTGTACCAGACATTAAAAGAAGTAACTTTTCACAGACTCTTCTTTAAAAAAAACTATGGAAAATAACAGTTTCCATTTCATTCTATAAATAAGCACAATATTACACTGATCCCAAATCAAGTAAGGGTACTACTAAAAGAAAAGAAAACCTGCATGTGACATGGTGGTACACACAAGTCATCCCAGCAATTGGAGGCTGAGGTAGGATTGCTGCAAATTAGGGGCCAACCTGAACTACAAAGTGATTTCAAGGTCAGCCTGAATTATACAACAAAATCCTATGGGGAGGGGAAGGAGGGGGGAGGGGAGGGCAAGGGAGAGGAGAAGGAGAAGGAGAAGGGGAGGGGGAAAAAAGAAAAGAAAGGAAAAAAAGCCAAGGATGTAGCTCAGCAGCACAGCACCTGCTTGGCAAGCTCAAGGTCCTGAGTTTGATTCCCAGCACCAAAATAGAAACGAACGAACGAACGAACGAACGAACGAACGAAAGAAAGAAAGAACGAACTTAGAATAGTAAATCTTATAAACACAGAAAAAAATGCCGAATAAAATATTAGCAAACCAGATCCAGTAACATATAACAAAGAATCTCTTCACTTTTGTTAGCCATAAAAATTAACATAAAAGCCTGAATTTGCTACTAATTACTAAACTTTTATTATACATGAGAACCACACAAAGCATTTTATAAATTTTATATCATTTAATTCTCTAAACTACTCTAGAATGATTTTCCTTTTGTAAAATGAGAATACCTAAGAAGCATATAAGTGAGATGCTCAGGGCTTATCCAAGATTTGATTACAGACTATTTAACTTCAAACTCAACATCATTGTCTCAATGTGGCATAAAACAACTCATTTACCTCTCTTACTTTCTTCATCTGAGTGATACATGTATCATCTTTAAAGTCCCTCTGGTCTCAAATATTATAACAGTATTAAAAGCTCTTATTTTTGAAATCTTTTTGTAATTAGAAAACTACATTAGAAAATTGAACAATGATCCAACAGAAACCTGAGAAACAGTTTTCCTATTCTGATAGTTTGCCTAGAACAAACAACACTATTATATCAAAATATTCTCCTCTTCATTGCCTCTAAAATAATGCAATACTCTGTCCTTGAAAGCAACAGCAATTACCCATAAGGTACAGATGGGGTTTAAAGTGAACTGATTGTCACAACATACAAATAAATTACAAGTCAATCTGCATGACACTAACATTAATTTGATCTAATTATACAAATAAAAATATGTACCGTTCATTATGCTCTTGATAAACAAGTCTGGACTTCTCCAGTAGGTATTTTTCAACATAGGCACTAGAAGAAAAAATAAAATTGATTGATATAAATACTGAAGTTTAATGTAACATACACACACTTATTTACAGGCAGTGCACAAATATAAAGAACATGCTCCAGGTCATTTCAGCAGATTTAACATTCTCACTGTGTTGTAAATTCTGTTAGTGGTACTCATGTATGAATTCATAAAGTCATGAGTCTTAGACTGGCTGGAGAATGAGACAGGAAGGTAAATGGACTCCATTAAGAAGAGCAAATATGCTACAGACCACAGAAATGAACTTTATGTGAAAGTAGTGAAGAACTGCAACATCAAGTATATTTCTCATACTTTGTTCTTACTATCTAGACTACCCCTTTCAAGTCTTCAGTACCTCATCCACATGGGAGCAACTGGGTAAAATCTCACAAGAAACAGGGCTGCTATAATCTGAAATTTTAAAACTCTAGGCTAACCAGATCCGGATTACCTACACAATGCCCTTTACTTCAAAATTTGAACCTTGAGCTAAATTTTCCCCAATTCCTCTCCATCACATGTGCTCTGCTTCAGACACAAATACAGGTTATCTTCTCAAGCATAGCGTTCATCCCTGACTGCACTGCTCTTACTCTTCCTTTCACTTCTGATTCCTTACTCTATTCCCAACACCAGGCCAGTGAATTTCATCTCTGTATTAAATGAAGTTTGAGTGTGTCTTCTTTACAAATCTGCTGTTGCTAGCACCCAAATAAATTTGTCACTCCTCAAATACAATGATCCCTGCCAATTTCAACTACTGAAACAAGTTATTCCCTGCTCAAAGTGGGAGAAGGGGAATAGATATAAATTAACGTGATAAAGTCTCCTGACACCCTCCATGGAAAATGTTACTGCCCTCATTTTATAAAGGTAGAAACAGAGGATCAAAGACACTAAGATTCTACACTTAGCAAACTATGACTCAGTAAAAGCTACAATCTGAACCTGGGCCTGTTTTATTCACAGAGGCTCTGGCTTTCAACTGCACCAAAACATTATTTTCTGGACCTCTCTTTCCTCCTTTCCAGTCTATAAATTACGCTCACTGTACCAAAATATGCAGAGAGAAACAGACATGTCTGGATTATTTAAATCATCCCAGAAAAAGAAGAAAGGAGCAGGTGAAGCAAACATGGCAAACTGGAATCACAGTTGACTCTGAGAGTTCCTTACATTATTTATTCTCTTTAGGTTTATTTGACTTTTATCATATTAAATTCTTCTAAAAGTCAGCTTCGCCATTTCAAGAGAGTATAAACACTAGCCTTAGTCACAATCTAACACCAACTAACCACCAACACCATACTATATAGCTGTCAACTTAAATCCTCAAAATACACCGAGCACTTGTCATGATCCCATTCATTTGCTACACCAATTTCTCAACTGGTGTTTTACCACTTCTGCTTAGCAAATTTTTAACACTCAACATAAAAACCACCTTTTTGTGAGTGCCTCAGACACACATTTCAAGCACTGTGCTTATTTTAGTGCAATCAACTTACATGCTATCACTCTTTGCAAAAAGACTATGAGAAATTTAAAGGCAGAAAGCATGTCTATGTTTCTTGTTATACATTCAGTACAGTGATACCTTGGTTCCTGAACTTAATTTGTTCCACGATTCTGGGAAAGATGGCCACAGTCATGTTCATCACTCAATGCAGAGCTTGCAAACAAAAAGTTTTGCCAAACATTTACCTGCAAACTAAATTTTCACAAACAAAAGCAACTATGAACCAAAGTACCACTGTATTTAGCAGAGTGCTTGGTAGTGCTCTGTAAATCTTCGCTAAATAAGTGAAAATAAGAGTTAAAAATTGTTTAATATACATTTGACACTGTATTAACATGTTTTGGCTCATTATTGATGTGAGAAGTTTGTAGACAGTCACTTAATACATAAGACTGAATCCCCTCCACTAAATTTGAAAACAGCCAGGTGTGATAGCACACATCTGTAATTCCAGCACTAGGGAGGCTGAGGCACAAGGATCACCACAGATCTAGCCTAGGCTACTGAGTAAGTTCAAGGTCAGCCTGGACAACATAGCAAGACCTTGTCTCAAAAAAAAAATTAAAATTAAAAAGTGAAGTCCAGGTGTGGTGGCACACACCCATAATCCCAGCACTCAAAAGGCTGAGGCAGAAGGATTGCTACAAGTTTCAAGCCAAGTTGGGCTACAAAGTGAGTTCATGGCCAGCCTGAATTGCACAGGGAAACCCTCTCAAAAAGACAAAAAGAAAAAAAAAGTGAAAACAAACATCTGCCACTCCTAGTTCACAAATTCATCTTGAGAACCAATAAGACTGTGCATTCTAAGTTATAAAGCAACATACATGACTTTACCTACTGTCAACCTCTCCAACAGCAGCACAATCATAAATACTAAAAAAAAAAAAAAAAAATGCAGCCCAACAATGTGACCACATAACACTTTCATAAGTAAAAGTAGCAACCATACCTTTGCAAATAGATTAGCCTTCAGGATGAGGAAAAAAAATGATCTATAAAACTCACCATGAAGACAGACTTACTGTCCTCATTCACTTTAACTGGTTCTAGTTTGGGTTCCATGGAGGTGGGGTTTAGTTTTGCTTAAATTTTTACAATTTAAATACAGAAGTAAAGTGGAAAGACAAGCATAAACTAGCACTTTATAAAGTACAGCTCAACCCCATTTATTCAGAGAGCTGAAAAAATTATAAAAATCAGCAAACAACACAATAAGCAAATTGTGTGTGTGCATGCATAAATGTATGACAGTGAGTATGTGTACAATGACTGATGAATGAACCTTAACGTGAGTGAGATTTCTTTTCCTGGAAACATAAAATGGTTCGATATTGGGAGAGAAATTATACTACTAATTGAACTCACAGTGAAAACAAATTTATTTCTACAGATGTCAAAAAGGCCTTCAATAAAATTCAATACTCATTCTGACAAAAACACTCAAGAAAATCAAAATTATTGTTTAACTGGGTCATATAATAAGAGAGCCTACAGCCAGTATTTTATACAGTGGAGAAAAGAAAAAAGGTAAAGGGATTCATGCAATGGAATGTTAGGTCACTAGTGTGTACCTGCACCCTGACCCTTCCTCTCTCTTTCTTCTTCACTTCCTGGCTGCTATGAGATGAGCATCTTTAGTCTTCTATGCATGCCACACCATGATGTTTTGCTTTCCATGAGCCCAAAAGCAATGGAGCCAACCATGAAGTGAAATCTCTGAAACCTCAAGCCAAAATAAACCTTTTGTCCTTTAAGGAATGGAAAGCTAACATAGTATTAGAAATAAATCAGGTAAGAAAGAAAGTAATCAGAAATACAGAGAATGAAAGAAAGTAAATTCTTTTTTGCAGATAGGGTAATATATCTAGAAGAGAAACAATAATAAAACTAATATAAACAACAAAATAATTCAGCAAGGTTAGTAGATATAAAATTAGTATGAAAATAGCTTCCATATATATAAAATGCAATTCAAAAAATGTAGGAGAAAAATCACTAATAGCAAAAAAATTAAGACTATAATAATGTACTTAGGGAAAAGCTCAACCAGAAATATTAAAATTTTAAGACAATACAAAAAGAGCTTTAAATGTTAATTATTCCCAAAGTGCTATATAAATTTAACTTTAGTCCATTAAAATCAAGCCATGGAGAAATATAGAAGTTAAAGAATACAATCTAGAAAGGCTACATACAGTATGAAACCAACTATATGGTATTCTGGAAAAGGCAAAACTATGAAGAGGGTAAAGATATTATTAGTCATCAAAGATTAGCAGTAGGAAGGCTTGAATAGGCAGAACACAGGATTTTTAGGGCTGTAAAACTATGCTAGATGTACCTATATTGCTGTGTGCCTGTCTGTATTATTTGCCAAAATTCACAGAATGTACAGGACAAAGAGTAAACCTTAATGCAAATTATGAACGTTTAATTAGAACTATCACTGGACATAGTGTCACATGGTTGTTTACCCCAGCTCTCTGGAGGCTGAAAAAAGACAATCACAAATTCAAAAGCAACCTGGACAACTTAGTGATAACTTGTCTCACAATAAAAAATAAAAGGGCTGGAGATGTGGCTCTGTGGAAGAGCAACCCTAGATTTAATCCCCAGCACTGCAATAAAATAAAAATCAATCTCAACATTAGCTTATCAATTTTAACAAATGGATCACACACTTACATATATATACATATGAATGAATGATTTTCTTTTACCAGGGATCAAACTCAGGACCTCAGGCTTGGCAGGCAGGCCCTTATGCCGTTGAGCTAAATCCCTAGTCACAAAAAGGTATTTACAATACTGGAAAATGAAGGAAAAGTCTGAAGGGATATAGTTCAATAACTGAAGAAATATATATGAATCCAGTGCAATTAAAATAGGAGAAAAGTGTAGAGGCACATAGGATAATTTGAAAGGATATATGGGAACTCTGTATTTCCCCTTTATTTTTTTGCTATGAACCTAAAACTGCTCTAAAAAAATATGAGTCTATTATGTTTCTTTTTAAGCTATAAGGAATACTGCTGATACAACCAGAGGACTTTGATCACAGACTATATAAGACATTACTGTAACAAAATTAAACCTCCTAATTATAAGACTTTATTCCCAAATAATATAAATGTGATTGCTTGGGAAATATAGTTAATTAGGTGATCATTGTATATCTCCAACTTCAAAATCATTCAAACAGTGAACATATACATAATAGAATACAGAGAAAAGTAAATGCAGCTAATTGTTAACATTCTAAGTCAAGGCTGTATGAGTGCTAAGATGAGTCTCACAACTTCTGATGTTTGACGTTTTCCAAAAGGGGAAAAAAAAAATCTAGGAAAATTTTTAATGCAGACACCAATGTCACACATAATCTATAGCAGCAGTGGAAAACCTTTTAGAGATAACAGCCCAAACCACACCCCAAAACCCATTTATTTATCACAAAGTGCTACTTACAATTAAACCTGAATACTGTCATGCATGGTGGCACACACCTATAATTCCAGCACTTGGGAGGCTGTGGCAGGAGGATCACTGCAAATTTCAAACCACCCTGAGCCACAAAGTGAGCAAGGCCAGCCTGAACTGCATAGTAAGACTCTATCTTAAAAAAAAAAAAAAAAAAAAAAAAAAAACTGAACACTGAGGCTTTAGTTTAGAAAAAGCTCATCCATTAACATCTTTGGTCTTAAAAAAAATATGCCATAGATTTGCCACCACAGGTCTGTAGCTACAATGTAAGTAATGACAAAAATAAAACATGTTCCACAACCCACTATTATTGCAGAACTTACCCAAGTACGGGGCCTGTTTCCTGGTAATTTACTTGAATAAACTTGCCAAAGCGACTTGAATTGTTATTATGAGCAGTTTTTGCATTTCCAAAGGCCTGTGAAAACAAATAATTCACATTAGTTTCATTAGAAACCATTTTTAAGCCCTTCTTTAACCAGGCACGGTGGTGCACAACTATAATCCTAGCACGCAGGAGGCTGAAGCAAAAGGGTTACCATGAGTTCAAACCCAACCTGCAGTACATAGTGAGACCCTGTCTCAAAAAGAAACAAAGAAAGAGAAAGAGAAAAAGAAAAAGAAAAAAAAACCCTGCTTAGGTCAGCTCAAAGAGACAAAATGCAGAAGAGACAACAGATAGGTAATTTACTTATGTTCAGACTCATACTAAGAGTTCAGGTAAAATAAAGCAGTTAATAAGTGAAACACCAAGCAGAGCTAGGCTTGGTGGCACATGCATGTAATCCTAATACTGAAGAGACCAAGGCGGACAGATATTGAGTTCAAGGCCAGCCTGCATCATATAGAGCAATCCTGTCTCAAAAACAAAACAAGTGTCAAGTATGTTGGCACTTGCCTATAATCCCATCACCAGGAGGCTAAGGCAAAAAGACTACTGAGAAATTGAAGTCAGCCTGTGCTATGCGTGAGTTCAAGGCCAGCCTAAACTACACTGCAAGACCTTGCAAAAAAACAAACAAAAAACATGTATGTTTATGTATGTAGATATAGTATATTACATTTTAATTTCTACTCTTTAGTGAAAGAATTTTAAAACCTAATGCTTATCAAAATTCTACGTTTTTTTCAAATTCCAGAGCCAGAAAAATTTTCTTAATAGATTTAGACTCATATTTTCTAAAAACCTTGCTAATTAAATTAACAAGGGTCCAGAAAAACAATTACAGTACAACTGTATAAATGATACTTAGACTGTATAATTTTTAAACTGTATAAGTGAACTTCCATTATTAAAATACATTTTATCATACCTGTTTAAAATAAAGCTATATTCATCATGCATGAATTAAAAGCTATAAACTCCCTAAATCATTACCTATAATATACAACATGCAAAGAAATAATGACCATCCATAAAATGAACTAATGATATACATATCAACAATTATGTGCTAATGTTATGCAAAGCAAAAGAAACTAGACATTGAGTATATATAATATAAATCATCTATATTAAATTCTATAAAAGACAAAACAATAGCAATAAGGAACCAGATCAAAGGGTGTTTAAGAATGGAGTCAAAAGGGGCTGGGGATTTAGCTCAGCGGCATAAGCGCCTACCACGCAAGCAGGCAGTCGTGAGTTCGATCCCCGGTACCGATAAAAAGACCAAAAAAAAAAAGAATGGAGTCAGAGCTAAACCTGTTATCTCAGCACTCGGAAGGCTGAGGCAGAAGTATCCTTTCAAGTTCAAGTTCAAGACCAACCTGGGCTACAAAGTGAGCTCAAGGCCAGCTTGAACTGCATAGTGAGGTCTTGTCTCAAAAAGATTTAAAAAAAAAAAAAAAATGGTGTTGAGATTGGGAAATGTCCACAAAAGGGCCCAAAGGGAATGAAGCTATTCTAAATCTTGACTGCATAGTGATGGTTATATGGATGTACACCTGTATGACAACCCAGCAGTACATTTTAAACATATACATTATAAGTTATAGCTCAGTAAAATTTCTTTAAATTTAAATTCAAAACGAAAGAAAAAGGCGCTAAGGATATATGTCAGTGGTAAAGCACTTGCCTAACAAGTGTGAAGAGTACATCTGACCCCTGGCATTGGGGGTGGGAGGAAACATATCACTGCCTAGCAAGACACTTTCATAATACATTTGAAGCTGGATGTGGTGATGAGTACATCGGGTGTAATCCAGGTACTCTGGAGGCTGAGGCAGGAGGATCACTGCAAGTTCAAGATCGGTCTGGGCTACAAAGTGAGCTCAAGGTCAGCCTGAACTGCATAGTAGACCTTGTCTCAAAAAGACCAAACACACACACACACACACACACACACACACACACACACACACACTTGAAGAAACCAAACTAAAAAAGCATAAGAATGCATTGCAGTGTTTTCTTCCCACTCTACATAATCTCTGAAAATGACACACCCTCTGAACTAACCATTTACTTAATAACCCCTGAATGCAAAGCCATGAGTATGCTAACCTCTACCTGTGCAGAGTACACCTGCAGGATCCACCCAGATATACAAGACAGGCTGAGGAGATAAACTTAACCAATGCCCCAGCAACTACATTTCTCCTCCAGTAGTTCTCAGTGTGGTAAAGAACAAAAGCATCAGCATTACCTGGAAATTTTACAAAAACAGCAACTCTTAAGACATTTCATAGAACCATGCAGAAATTCTGAGTTTACAGTCTAGCAATGTCTTACCCCTTGCAGGGGTTCAAATGCAAACTAAAGTTTGAGAAACATGTTCTATTTACTATTCATGCACTGAAATTTCGATGAAATTTCAATGCAATCAGTATTAAGAAATTATTTTACAGTGATAGTAGTAAATACACATGATTCTGAAAATCTTCACAAATACCCTCATGAATGCTTACATTCCTGATTTAATTACATGACTAGAAAAGTCAAGAATCCCAACAGAGACTGAGGTCTTTCAAAGTCCTATGTTTGACCTATTTGACATCTCCTGAAAATTCATTCAAAAGGTTGCTTATTTTGACCTAACTCAGGGATCACTCACTGAGAACAGTCTCTTCATACGTCCCACTAATGTGTATGTCAAAAATAATCCAAAACAATTATTTAAGAACTACAATTGCCTAAAGAGGTGATAACAGGATAGGACCAAAAACAAAAACGCAAGACAAGCTACACATAAAGGAAAAGGTGGTGAATGGCAAGTATAAAGTGGGCTTTGAAAATTTTTGAAGTATTACTTGGTGGGGCTTGGGATTTAGCTCAGTGGCATAAGTGCCTGCCTGGCAAGTGCAAGGTCATGAGTTTGATCCCAGATTCAAAAGAAAAAAAGAAGTATTACTGGGCATGTAGAAGGCCATGTGCTTGCTGAGGAAAGACCTTAGACAAGTTTGAACTTGAGGTTCTGTGTTAGCAGGGAGTGAAAATTAAGGCAGAGTTGATAATTGCTTGACAGAGCACAAAGGTCCTGTACAAGTACAAAAACCTCAAAGGAAGATTGGTAACCTGAACCCTTCTAGAAATTCAAAGAAATACTTGCCAGACCCTGGTTGACCACTAAAGTAACTGAGTAGAATTCTGACAGCTTTACTCACTTTGATGGCCTCATGCAATAAAAGAATAGAGACTTCACAGAACTGCGTATTATTTAAAATGCCCAGTTTTCAATAAAGAATTGAGAGACATGCAAGAAACAAACCATGGTCATCTGAAAATAGTAGAAATTGTCCCTGACAAAGTCCAGATGCTGTATTTACTAGGCAATGGCTTTATATTTTCTATATTAAAGGTTTTCAAACAAGTCTGGTAGAGCTGCCTTAACAATACAAAATATCAAAAACAAGGTACAAGTTGTAAAGATTATAAAAATCCAGGTGTTGAAATTAACTAAAAAAAGTTTACTACAGGGACTCAAATGAAAACATATCCAAATAAAGTATCAGTAATAGAAAGACAAAGACAGAGACTGAGACAGAAAAGAGAGAAAAATTACAAGGAAGATTTTATTTTGAGACGAAGGAAAACATCACAACCACCACAATATATAGGACACAGCTGAATAAGTACTCAGAAGCAATTTTATAACTGTAAAAGGCCATACTTAAAAAGAGAAAAGATCAGCTGGGCCTGGTGGCTCACGCCTGTAATTCCAGCACTCGGGAGGCTGAGGCAGGAAGATCGATGCAAGTTAGAGACCAGCCTGGGCTACAAAGTAAGTTCAAGGCCAGCCTGAACTGCATAGAGACCCTGTCTCAAAAAGACAAAAGAAAAGAAAAGATCCCTAATCAATAAACTATCACCTTAAGAAAATAGGAAAGATCTGAGAGCAGTGGCACATATCAATTATCCCAGTCAAGAAGGCCACAAGTTCAACTGTGGCCGTCTCAGGGAGAGCATCTGAGCATCTCAGGGAGACTCTATCTCAAAGTAACAATAAAAAAGATTCAGGCATGGTGACACACCCCTATAATGCCAGCAATTGATAGGTTGAGGCAGGAGGGTCACCATAGGTTTCAAGCTAGTCTGGCTACATAGTGAGTTCAATTCTACCCTGCAGTACACAGTGAGATCCTGTCTCAAATACACACACACACACACACACACACACACACACATACACACAGACAGGGCTGGGGTTGGAGCACCTCCCATACCACAAACAAGAAAACAAGAGATGAAAAATAATGTTGATGATGATGATAAAATAAACAGCCAATGTAAAAATAACAAAAAAATATTACTAAACCAAAAGTTGGGTCTTTGAGTAAAGTTAAAATGGGACCAGGGTGTAGTTCAGAGGCACAGCACCTGCCTGGCAAGTGTGAGGCCCTGAGTTCGATTCTGAGTACCAAAAAAAAAAGTTTTCTTAAAATAGCCATCCTTCTAAAACTGATATACAAAGTTAATAAAAAACCAATCAGTACCAACAGCATCCTCATAGAACTACAAAAAACATTTTAAAGTTCATATGGAGACAGAAGAGGCCCAAAATAGTAAAGCATTACGGGGTAACAAGAATAAAGCAGGAGGCATCACAATCCTAGGTTTCAAGTTAAATTACAAAGTTACAGTAATGTACTAGCATGGTACTAAATAGAACAGAAGATGCAGAAACAACACTAGAAATTATTAAACCACTGGGTCTTTGACAAAGGGGCCAAAATATATGCCAGAGGAGAGATAGCTTCTCTTTAACAAACAGTGCTGGGAAAACTGTCTATCTACATTGAGAAGACTTAATCTAGACCTGTATCTCTAAAATAAAATCCAAATGGATCAAAGACCTGGATATTATAACAGAAACAATCCGCTGGAAGATAAATTAACATAAAACTCTTGAAGACATATGTACAGACTAGGACTTTCAACAAACAGGAGTACATCAAATTTAAAACTTTCTGCATAGC